TTATTTTCCTTTTTGCTATTTTGTGATTTTAATTTTTAAGCTAGTAATACCCTATCCATTTATTATTACAGAGCTACAGGTAGGAGGCTTCTGTTAGTGTGCCCCAGGGCAGCTGTGGCTACCGTAGTTTATCACCACTGCTTATGGCGTTAGAGAACATGTCCAAAACAGCGTTGTATAAAACCCCTTCATTATTATTAGGTTTTCTTGTGGACGTTATTCATAAATTGAAAAGAAGACCAAGACATTCAAGAGTTCAAATTAACAAATTTTAATTATTTTTACGACTAAATACTAATACAAAACGTGTGCTGAGCTATAACTATCCATCCAGGCCTGAAAACTGCCAGAGGATTCTCAGGTTCTCTGTGAAGTCCTCTCTCTCTCCCTGACTCAGACTGACCTGTTGTTCAAAACAGTTTTATGAAAATGTGTAGAAGAAGGAGAAGTGCCGCCAACGACATCAGTTTTGCTCCATAAATGATAAAACCGAAGAGCCTGGTCTGGGTCTGGTCTGGTCTGGTACGGTCTCATAATAATAATAATAATACATCAAACTTGTATTGCGCTTTTTTGGACACTCAAAGACGCTTCACATGGGAAAAGAATACAATAAAATAAAACTATCAAAAAAGCGGTTTACGGAAAAGATTGTTTGAAAAGATGGGTTTTGAGACTGATTTAAAGTTTGGTAGTGAGTCAGAGTTTGTAATGGGCAGTGGGAGTGAGTTCCAGAGGGTTGGGGCGGCAATGGCAAAGGCAGCCGAGGTCCGGCGGTTTGTGCGGGAGATGGAGGTTGGAATCAGCTGAGCGAAGGCGGCGGGTGGGTTGGTGCTTTTGTAGGAGCTCGGTGAGGTAGGGGGCGGGGCCAGGTTATGGAGGGAATTGTAGGTGAGGAGGAGGAGCTTGTATTGAACGGGAGCCAGTGGAGCTTCTGGAGGACAGGGGTGATGTGTTCTCTGGACCAGGTGTGGGTGAGGAGGAGGCGGGCTGCAGAGTTCTGGATGTAGTGCAGAGTTCTGGATGTAATGCAGAGTTCTGGATGTATTGCAGAGTTCTGGATGTAGTGCAGAGTTCTGGATGTAATGCAGAGTTCTGGATGTGATTCAGTGTTCTGGATGTGTTGCAGAGTTCTGGATGTAGTGCAGAGTTCTGGATGTATTGCAGAGTTCTGGATGTAGTGCAGAGTTCTGGATGTATTGCAGAGTTCTGGATGTAATGCAGAGTTCTGGATGTGATGCAGAGTTCTGGATGTGATGCAGTGTTCTGGATCTAATGCAGAGTTCTGGATGTACTGCAGAGTTCTGGATGTAATGCAGAGTTCTGGATGTAGTGCAGAGTTCTGGATGTGATGCAGAGTTCTGAATGTATTGCAGAGTTCTGGATGTATTGCAGAGTTCTGAATGTATTGCAGAGTTCTGGATGTAGTGCAGAGTTCTGGATGTATTGCAGAGTTCTGGATGTATTGCAGAGTTCTGGATGTATTGCAGAGTTCTGGATGTGATGCAGAGTTCTGGATGTGATGCAGAGTTCTGGATGTAGTGCAGAATTCTGGATCTAATGCAGAGTTCTGGATGTACTGCAGAGTTCTGGATGTAATGCAGAGTTCTGGATGTAGTGCAGAGTTCTGGATGTGATGCAGAGTTCTGAATGTATTGCAGAGTTCTGGATGTATTGCAGAGTTCTGAATGTATTGCAGAGTTCTGGATGTAGTGCAGAGTTCTGGATGTATTGCAGAGTTCTGGATGTATTGCAGAGTTCTGGATGTATTGCAGAGTTCTGGATGTGATGCAGAGTTCTGGATGTGATGCAGAGTTCTGGATGTAGTGCAGAATTCTGGATGTATTGCAGAATTCTGGATGTATTGCAGAGTTCTGGATGTATTGCAGAGTTCTGGATGTAGTGCAGAGTTCTGGATGTAATGCAGAGTTCTGGATGTGATTCAGTGTTCTGGATGTAATGCAGAGTTCTGGATGTGTTGCAGAGTTCTGGATGTAGTGCAGAGTTCTGGATGTATTGCAGAGTTCTGGATGTAATGCAGAGTTCTGGATGTGATGCAGGGTTCTGGATGTGATGCAGTGTTCTGGATGTAATGCAGAGTTCTGGATGTACTGCAGAGTTCTGGATGTAATGCAGAGTTCTGGATGTAGTGCAGAGTTCTGGATGTAATGCAGAGTTCTGGATGTACTGCAAAGTTCTGGATGCACTGCAGAGTTCTGGATGTAATGCAGAGTTCTGGATGTATTGCAGAGTTCTGAATGTATTGCAGAGTTCTGGATGTAGTGCAGAGTTCTGGATGTAGTGCAGAGTTCTGGATGTATTGCAGAGTTCTGGATGTAGTGCAGAGTTCTGGATGTAGTGCAGAGTTCTGGATGTATTGCAGAGCTCTGGATGTATTGCAGAGTTCTGGATGTATTGCAGAGTTCTGGATGTATTGCAGAGTTCTGGATGTAATGCAGAGTTCTGGATGTGATGCAGAGTTCTGGATGTGATGCAGTGTTCTGGATGTAATGCAGAGTTCTGGATGTACTGCAGAGTTCTGGATGTAATGCAGAGTTCTGGATGTAGTGCAGAGTTCTGGATGTACTGCAACGTTCTGGATGCACTGCAGAGTTCTGGATGTAATGCAGAGTTTTGGATGTATTGCAGAGTTCTGGATGTAGTGCAGAGTTCTGGATGTAGTGCAGAGTTCTGGATGTAGTGCAGAGTTCTGGATGTACTGCAGAGTTCTGGATGTAATGCAGAGTTCTGGATGTATTGCAGAGTTCTGGATGTAGTGCAGAGTTCTGGATGTAGTGCAGAGTTCTGGATGTAGTGCAGAGTTCTGGATGTACTGCAGAGTTCTGGATGCACTGCAGAGTTCTGGATGTAATGCAGAGTTCTGGATGTATTGCAGAGTTCTGAATGTATTGCAGAGTTCTGGATGTAGTGCAGAGTTCTGGATGTAGTGCAGAGTTCTGGATGTATTGCAGAGTTCTGGATGTAGTGCAGAGTTCTGGATGTAGTGCAGAGTTCTGGATGTATTGCAGAGTTCTGGATGTATTGCAGAGTTCTGGATGTATTGCAGAGTTCTGGATGTATTGCAGAGTTCTGGATGTAATGCAGAGTTCTGGATGTGATGCAGAGTTCTGGATGTGATGCAGTGTTCTGGATGCACTGCAGAGTTCTGGATGTAATGCAGAGTTTTGGATGTATTGCAGAGTTCTGGATGTAGTGCAGAGTTCTGGATGTAGTGCAGAGTTCTGGATGTAGTGCAGAGTTCTGGATGTACTGCAGAGTTCTGGATGTAATGCAGAGTTCTGGATGTATTGCAGAGTTCTGGATGTAGTGCAGAGTTCTGGATGTATTGCAGAGTTCTGGATGTAGTGCAGAGTTCTGGATGTATTGCAGAGTTCTGGATGCAGTGCAGAGTTCTGGATGTATTGCAGAGTTCTGGATGTAATGCAGAGTTCTGGATGTAGTGCAGAGTTCTGGCTGTATTGCAGAGTTTTGGATGTATTGCAGAGTTCTGGATGTATTGCAGAGTTCTGGATGTATTGCAGAGTTCTGGATGTAGTGCAGAGTTCTGGCTGTATTGGAGAGTTCTGGATGTATTGCAGAGTTCTGGATGTACTGCAGAGTTCTGGATGTAGTGCAGAGTTCTGGATGTAGTGCAGAGTTCTGGATGTAGTGCAGAGTTCTGGATGTAGTGCAGAGTTCTGGATGTACTGCAGAGTTCTGGATGTATTGCAGAGTTCTGGATGTACTGCAGAGTTCTGGATGTAGTGCAGAGTTCTGGATGTAGTGCAGAGTTCTGGATGTAGTGCAGAGTTCTGGATGTAGTGCAGAGTTCTGGATGTACTGCAGAGTTCTGGATGTATTGCAGAGTTCTGGATGTACTGCAGAGTTCTGGATCTAATGCAGAGTTCTGGATGTGTTGCAGAGTTCTGGATGTATTGCGGTCCGGTGAGATTAAGGGGACTCTCTCTCTGAAAAGAACACTCCAAGGCTTTCCATTGTTTTGCTGTAAACTCACTGACCTCAGACTAGTTTGAAAACACATCATATAAAAACACTTTGATATAAAACTATTCATTTATTATTATTAAATATTTAACAATTTGATAAATGTTGACACATGAATGAGAACATGATTGTGTTTCAAATCAACCTCAGCTTAAATGTTTAGATTCTGAATGAAGTCGTCCATAAACAGTCAAACAGTCTACTCACACAACGACTATAAATCCTTCCACGCGGTTTTTTTTCCCGAATCTGAAATTGCCTCGGAATCTGCCACTGCCCATAATTCAAAGTTCATTTTTGTATTTGCTAAAGTGGATGGATTTTTGTGGCTTTGGTGGAAAGTAAAAGGCTGGAAAATCTCATGTAAGTTTCAGCAGGATGTTAATTTTAGTCACAGTTGGACGTGTCTGGCCCAGTTCGGAGCCGCAGTGACTTCAATAGAACAAGAGCGGCTCGACCCGACTGCCGCGGCTAACAAGCACAAAGGCAACCGCTGCACGCCTTTATTAACGCCCTGTCATGTGGCTTTGGAAATTCACATTTAATAGAGTTGTAGAAGGACACTATTGTATTAAGTGAGAATTATCTCTTGGCTGCGAACACGTGTAACATTCTGTCTTCCAGCTGCAGTTGGTGTTAGGGTTTGCAGATAGAACGACAAAGAAGAGGTTCAAGTTTATCTACAATGTTATGTTTTTGTAGTGTCTGAACCAGGGGAGTGACACTGATATTGGTCAGGAGCGGAATGAAAACAAGTATGAGCTGGTTTTTGATGAACAAAAACCAGACCATCCAGACCTTTCCTTCTCTCTCTCTCTCTCTCTCTCTCGCTCTCTCTCTCTCTCGCTCTCTCGCTCGCGCTCTCTCCTTGAAGTGAATGATATTTAAGTCCACAAACACACATTAAACCGCCTGTAACACGGTGAAAGTGGCTGTTTTGCATGTTCTCCCCGTGTCTCCTCAAAGCCTCACCTGTGCCTCTGGTGTTGTTGCAGAGACTGGACTTCGAGAGTAAGCGAGATTACGAGTTCCGCGTGGAGGTTCGGAACACTTACCTGGACGCCCGCTTCATCCACGGGCTGCAGTTCAAGGACTTCGCCACGGTGAAGGTGACGGTGGAGGACGTGGACGAGTCTCCGGTCTTCAGCAGGAACCCGTACGTGATCGAGGTGCACGAGGACACGGCGGCCGGGAGCGCGGTGGGCGTGGTGTCGGCCCGAGACCCGGACGCAGACAACAAACCGGTGAAGTGAGTGCCGTCGTTCACTGCAAAAAATGATGAAATTAACCTGAAATCAATTGGTTTTTATCCTAATTTGAGGTTCTCGAACGGGACAGAGTCATTTAGACTTATTTCAAAAACGGTTTCTTTATTTTCTCATGAAGGGTAAAATGTTTTGTATCTTTTTAGAATAAGATCATTTCACTTTGTCTCGGCAAATCTTGTTATACGGCTCCGTCAGAAAGTGCTCAAATATTGTATGATTTTTTGTTTTGTTTACCTCTTTCGTTTTTTTATTAGTATTGGTATTAGAGAGAGAGACAGAGAGAGAGAGAGAGACAGAAAGACAGACAGAAAGAGAGACACAGACAGACAGAGAGAGACGGAGAGAGAGAGACAGAGAGAGAGAGACAGAGAGAGAGAGACAGAGAGAGAGACAGAGAGAGAGAGAGAGAGAGAGAGACAGAAAGACAGACAGAAAGAGAGACACAGACAGACAGAGAGAGACGGAGAGAGAGAGACAGAGAGAGAGAGACAGAGAGAGAGAGACAGAGAGAGAGACAGAGAGAGAGAGAGAGAGAGAGAGAGAGAGAGAGAGAGAGACAGGGAGAGAGACACAGACAGAATTAAGATCATTTTGCTTTGTCTTGGCAAATCTTTTTACGGCTCCGGCAGAAAGTTCTCAAATATTGTATGATTTTTAGTTTTCTTTATCTCTTTAGTTTTTTTATTAGTATTGGCATTATTATTGTTTTCTTTTTTCTATATTTTCTTCATATATAATGTATGTAATATTTTTCTTTGCATTATATTTGTGCCTTGTTACGTTTTTAATGATGAAATTCTGACCATCTCAACTCGAAAGGCAAGAACTCCCAACAGAAATGATAAAAAACTCGAATTAAGTCACTTTTCATCACTTTTTACAGTGTGCTTTTTTAGTTTTCTGTAAATCCACACCTTTGTGCAGAAATATCTGATCTAAGTATCGTGCTGAGTGTAGATATGTCACTATATATACAGTATAGGTTTTGTTGGTGTTTTAAAAGTCAGGTCCCCAAGCTTTAAATGTAATCGTCTGTCTTTTCAAAGCTTGTTTCCATGTCACAACATTGTCCCCGAATCAGAAATACGGTTCTCGCTTTCTCGTTGTTGTTCGCTGCTTCGGCAAATCTCGGTTTTTAGGTCCCTGAAAGTTTTCACAGTGAAAAAAGCAGTTTCCAGATTCTCTTTGATCTTCAAACAAATGACTTTCCAAATCTTTCCACGACTGCAACATTCAGGAACACACTCTTTACCGCGGCGTCCTGATAACCGACATTTACAAATGCATTTCCACCGCGCTGTAGGAACCTAATCTCATCCCAAACCAACTTTATCTGAAGAGGAAGCTTTGTTTTGGCTCTGTTGTTAATTACACTGCAGCTTCATCAATATCAACGCAGCATGCACACAGCAGCTCTCCACTCGTCAGCTCAGAAATGAAAAGTCTGCAAAACCAATCCATCAAAGAGCGAGGCGCAGAGGGAGAGACGGGTTTCAGGGACTCTCTGTCTCTGTGACTCCGATTCAGGCAGAAATGTGGACAGAGAGAGAGAGAGAGAGACAGACAGACAGACAGAGAGAGAGAGAGAGAGAGACAGACAGAGAGAGAGAGAGACAGGAGGCTGTCTGTCTGATGTCATGATGTCTTCCTGTGCGTCCTGAATACCTTCTATGACTCTGTGGTGGCATCAGCCTCTTGTACGGTGTGGTTTGCTGGAACAGCAGCATCACAGAGAGAGACAGGAAGAAGCTGGACAAGGTCATCAGGAAGTCCAGCTCAGTCCTGGGCTGTTCCCTGGACACAGTGCAGCAGGTGGGGGACAGGAGGGTCCTGGACAAACTAACATCTGGACCATGACTGTCACCCCCTGCAGGACACTCTCTCTGCTCTGGAGAGCAGCTTCAGTGACAGACTAATTCACCCTCGCTGTGTGAAAGAGAGGTTCCGTAGGTCTTTCCTTCCTGCTGCTGTCAGACTGTACAATAAGAACTGCTGAGCCTGCAAATGTCATTCATCTGTAATTAAGTAAATTCTTAAATCATTTGCAATGTGCAATACTGCAACTTCAGAATGTCACAGAACAATGTCACTTTACCTCATGTCACTTTACTTTAGTTATGTTAAGCTCACCGCACACCGAAACGCAGCGCCTCGCGGCGCGTCATTTGACGCGCGTTCATGACATGTGTCAAATTACACCGGAACGCCTTGGCTAGCGTCCTTTTCCAGCTGATATAGCCAATATAGCCAATAAAAATAGCTACAATTACCTATTGTTAGCTTACCTGTACATTCAATTTCAAGTGAAATTGCTCTCCAGGCAATTTCCTTTCGCACGATATCCTTATAAAAAGGATTCTGTGGGTTAAATAGCTCTGGGTAACGCTGTACTTGGGTTATCAAGCTTTCCTCGTCCATTGTGACCGGTTTACTTGAGCAATAGCGCCGACAAGTGTGTAAATTTGAGACCGCGCTCACAGCTACGTGATAAGAAGCGCAGAAGAAGAAAACTACGGGTGCTTGGAGGGACAGTTTCAGCCGCGGCGCCGCGTCTGGATTCAACAAAACTGAATCGTGGCGCCCGGTCCAGCGTCGCCGCGCGTCACTGCAACCTTGGTGTGCGTTCTCTCATAGAAAATAAAGGAGGCGGCTCTTTTGCCGCGCGTCAAGGCGTTTCGGTGTGCGTTGGGCTTAAGTTAAGAAACATAGCTACTACTTTGTATATATTGTGTGTGATCCCTGTGTGCTCTTACCTATATGTGCGCTGCAACATTGAAATTTCCCCACTGTGGGACGAATAAAGGAATTCTTATCTTATCTTATCATCACATGGACCTTTGTGATGTATTCATGTCTTTCTGGGGAACTTTGTGATGTCGGTGTTAGCGGTGGTTAACTGCTGCTGTAGTGCAGGCATGTCCAAACTCACGCCCGCGGGTCATGTTATCTGGCCCTCTGCCTCGTCAGGTCACAGTGTCATACAGCCAACTTCAGCTCTACCAATATATGTATGTTATATCTTGTTGTAAATCTTTTTTTTTTGTATATACTCGTTACTTGTTTTTGATTGTGGCACAAAATTGAGTGGCTATCGTAGCCAACGCCAACCTTATTAAAGCTGATTTTAAAGTTCAAAACAGTTTTTTCAATCTAGGTTGTCGGGCCCTGGACAAGTCTGGCAAACTAAAGTGGGCCTGTTATAAAAAAGAATAAGATCAGATATTCCTTTGTTGAATATGAGCAAAACAATAGTAACAATATCAGCAGGAAACAGCAGTAAAGTGACTAGTGAATGGCAGACGTATCAGATGGATGTGTAGTAATGCAGTAATAATAATAATAATAATAATAACTAAAAAAGTGACTAGAGAATTATTATCATTGACACTTGCACAGACTCAGCACTTCTCGTTATACATCCTCGTTATACAGTCTGACAGCAGCAGGGGGAAGGACCTGCGAAACCTCTCCTTCTCACAGCAAAGTTTGGACGCCCCGGCTGTAGCGTGATGCAGATGGCGTGTACTCCGGGTTTGGGGGTAGATTCTGGAGCGCGATACATAATAAACTTCGGGGGATGTGGGCGCCGTGACGATGACGGACGAGCGGCGGCTGTAGACCGGCGTCACTGCGGCGACGGGAGATAGTGAGTGATGAAGAGTGCGAGTCCACGGGTCTTCATCACGGCCTTATTGGTTTGTAATACTTCAAGCAGCTTCACCGTATATGTGATTTATAAAGCGCTTTGCAGAGCTTTACTCATCCCACTTTTCTTTCACTTTGAGTTATGGTTTCTTTGTACAAATGATTCCACCGGAGACAGAAAGAAGACATCATTGTGCGTCGTGAATGTAGGATTGTGGGCATTCTCTGCAGTTGTGTTGCGTTGTTTTGAGGTCTGTTCCCTTCTGTGGTGCGAGATTAAACATGGTCACGTAGTCAGTGGTTATGCTGGAGATGAAGCTGGCAATCAGTGTTTTTTTTTTTGAGTTTTGACGTCTTGGGCAGTCTGTGAACGGCTTGCTCAGTGAGAGAGTGTACACTGCAAAAAATGATAATGTATGAGGTTAAAAATAGCCTAGATCGAGTGGTTTTTGGGTTAATTTGGACACATTCTGATTGTGTTGAAAATAGATTCTCTGATGGGAAAAAAGTCTTATTTCAAACAAGATCATTTTGCTTTGTCCCATTGGAGAATCTTGAGCTCAAATTAAGACACGTCTTGCCAAATATTAGCAATTATTAACTTATTTGTACTGACTTTTTGCAGTGTAGACTAGACCATACCCTTATTCTGACAATAAAAGTCAAAAACAGTTACAACCTGGCTGGTGCAGCAGTGTTATAGATGCAAGCAAATGCAAAAATAAAAGCAAGTTTTTATTTATTTATTTATTTATTTGTTTGGAGGATAAGCCCCTAGAGATGAAACATCTCGTTTTCGAGGGGGTCCTCAAAATTGTTCAAAATGACAGATGCAGTAAGGCAGACAGCAGAGCAAACAATATAACATTAAAAAAAAAGATACAGACACAAAAGACAAAGGACACACAAACACACACACACATTCTGATTGTTATCATTATAATGTCTGTTATACATTAACAGAGATTTAAGCTAGTCTCTATAGTAGTGCAAAACCTTGCATGCTCAATAGCACTGGCATTGGTTCTGGAGGTGTCGGACCAGAGCATTTTATGTATGGCACTGTTCATACTCAATCTGGACTTTAATCTGGATTTGAACAAAAGCCTGTCTCATATTTTTAAGAAGACTATTCCATATTTTAGCAGCATAAATCTAAATACAGCCTCCCCATGTTTAGTCCTGACTCATAGTCCCAGCAGGAGGCCAGTCCCTGTGCTCCTCAGAGTCCCAGCAGGAGGCCAGTCCCTGTGCTCCTCATAGTCCCAGCAGGAGGCCAGTCCCTGTGCTCCTCAGAGTCCCAGCAGGAGGCCAGTCCCTGTGCTCCTCAGAGTCCCAGCAGGAGGCCAGTCCCTGTGCTCCTCAGAGTCCCAGCAGGAGACTGGTCCATTATTGACTGGACCTGCCGTTTCCATGACGATGTGCGACACTTCTGAGCGTCCGATCCCTGAGAATTGATCCAAAGAAAGATCCAGAGAAAGATCCAGAGAAAGATCCAAAGAATGATTCAGAGAATGATCCACAGCAGTCGCAGTTTGAGAGTTTTATCCAAATGTGACGAAGACAAACGAGTGGGCGCCGGGGGCTGTGTGTTTCTCTGACTCCAGGAGAGAAGAAGGAGAAGAAGAAGAGAGAGAGAGAGAGAGAGTGATGGAGAGAGCTGCTGTTCAGAGACACCAGACAGGCACTATATTACAGCTGTGTGTGTGTGTTTATGTTTGTGTGTCTGTGTGTGTGTGTGTCTGTTTGTGTATCTGTGTGTGCGTGTGTGTGCTTCTGTTTATGTGCATATTTGCTCTACATTTTACACTCTACACACGGACAGAGCATACACACACATACAATCACATTTTTAGCATTTTAAAAACAAACACACACACATATATAATAGACACACAGACACACACATAGCATACACACGCACACATAACCTACACTCAACCACACACATACACACACACAGATGCTGTAATGAGTGTAACACATGGATTATTCAGAAACGATCCAAAAGTTTGTGTCATAAATAATGAAATATATACTATGGCAGGTGCAGCTAAAACACACCGTGACAGACTTTACTGAGAACAACAAGTTTGGATTCACTTCATAATAATTTCAGTATCATTTGCCCTAAAGTAGTAAGTAGGAAGTTTTTATTTATACCGCCTTTTCACTGCAGATCTGAGTCTCAAAGCGGTTTACAATTGTTAATATTGGGCATTTGTCTCTCACTCCACACAGATGGGAGCGGGGCCAGTACAGGAGGCGCATGCCAGAACTATTGGACATATTTTTAGTGGTAGGGGAAACCGGAGTACCCGGAGGAAACCTACGCAGACACGGGGAGAACATGCAAACTCCACTCAGAAAGGCCCTGGTCCGACCGGGATTCGAACCCAGGACCTTCTTGCTGAGAGGCGAGAGTGCTATTCACTCAGCCACCGTGCCGCCCAAGCTGGGGTATCAAGCTTCATATCGTGAGGAAGCTTTGTTCAAACAGCAGCTTTCATCATGCAGCAACCCTCCTCCTCCCCATCTCCTCCTCTCCTCGTCCGAGACCAGCTCTTTCCCACTTATCCTACAGCTCCCACCACCGGGGTCTAGGTTCCGGGGGATTTCAACCTCTGCTGGGGTCTAAGAACCAAATCTTAACCACATTTCTTTACAGCATGCAATAAATGTAATCTCACAAATATCAGAGCCGCATGTAGTAATTTCTGCAGTGTCAGTTCTTTGCAAACCGATAATATACAATTCTAACAAAGGCACTGTTTTGTCTGTTTGCGTCTCTCCAAATTGACATAATTGAATCTGAATGACGGAGTTTTAGAACTGAAAAGGACTTGGAGTGGGCGTTTGAAACTCAACTAGAAAAGTGAATCTCTGAGTATCTCGCACAAATACTAGTTTGAGAAGAGAGAGAGAGAAACAGAGAGAGAGAGAGACAGAGAGAGAGAGAGACAGAGAAAGTGTCTTATGTAGTTTTAGGACTGAAATAGACTGAAAAGTGAATCTCTCAGTGGAGCCATGACTGCTGCTCATTCATCCAAATTTAATTCACAAATAGTAGTGTGAGAAGAGAGAGAGACAGAAAAAGAAGAGCACAGATAGAGAGAGAGAGACAGAGAAAGATACACAGAGAGAGAGAGACATTAAAAGAGAGAGACACAGAGAGACACACACAGAGAGAGACAGAACAAAAGAGAGACACAGAGAGAGAGAGAGACAGAACGAGATACAGAGAGACACAGAAAGAGAGACACAGAGAGAGAGAGACAGAACAAAAGAGAGACAGAGAGAGACACAGAGAGAGAGACATACACAGAGAGAGAGAGACAGAAAGAAAGAGACACAGAGAGACACGCACAAAGAGAGAGACAGAAAGCCACACACACAGAGAGAGACAGAAAGAAAGATAGACAGAGAGAGACAGAAAGAGACACACAGAGAGAGAGACAGAAAGACAGTCAGAGAGAGAGAGAGACAGAAAGAGACACACAGCGAGAGAGAGAGACAGAGACACACACAGAGAGAGACAGAAAGACACACACAGAGAGAGAGAGACGGAAAGTAAGATAGACAGAAAGAGACACAGAGAGAGAGAGAGAGAAAGAGAGACACAGAGAGAGACACACACAGAGAGAGAGACACAGAGAAAGAGAGATGGAGAGAGAGGAAGAGAGAGAGAGCCACTGTTTTGTCTGTTGGAGTCTCTCCAGATTGACATAATGATATCTCAATTACGTAGTTTTAGGTCTGATAAAGACTTGGAGTGGCCGTTTGAAACTCAACTCTCTCTCAGTCGAACCAAAGCGCCTGAACGCACAAACACTGGTCTGAGAATCTGTCCCTGATCAATCTGGAGGACCAGGAATCGCTCCCATGGTCCCCACCTGGTTTTACCACGGCACACTCCAGACCCGCTCATTCAGGCTGCTTAAAAACCCAACGACGTCTTAAGCCTCCGCAGCAGGCGAGTGTGTGTGTATGTGTGTGTGTGTATGTGTGTGTGTGTGTGTGTGTGTGGTCCTTGCCGCACGCCAATCAAGATTTCACAATATTTATGCATATTTTGTGGCAAAGAGGAATTAATTAAACCAAATACAGCCCGTTAAACTGTCAAAGGAAAAGCGAGGGTGCTGTAAACATTCTGTAAACACTGGTTGCCGTGGGATTTAGGCAATTATGAAGCCAGTCCAAAAAATTTCAATATCAGCGCAGAGGTTTGGTGTCTGTGGGATTAGAACCCAAGGCGTGATGCAGGAGGTCGCGGCGGCTCGTTCAGGAGACGTGATGTCGGACTTAACTCTGAGGCCGGAAAACTGGGGATGAAGAGATGTGAGGTGTTTAACGGGAGGGTAATTATCTGAGGTCAGAGTGTCATGGACAGAGAGAGAGAGAGGGGTAAAGAGAGAGAGAGAGAGAGAGAGAGGGGTAGAGCGAGGGAGAGAGAGAGAGAGAGAGAGGGAGAGAGAGAAAGAGGGGTAGAGAGAGAGAGAGGGGTAGAGAGAGAGAGAGAGAGAGAGAGAAAGAGGGGTAAAGAGAGACAGATAGAGAGAGGGGTAAAGAGAGGGAGAGAGAGAGGTAAAGAGAGAGAGAGAGAGAGAGAGAGAGAGAGGAAGAGAGAGAGAGGAAGAGAGAGAGAGAGAGAGAGAGAGAGAGAGAGAGAGGGGTAAAGAGAGAGAGAGAGAGAGAGAGAGAGAGTTTCCAGTGTGTGTTTGAACAGTTTGATTCTCTGATCTGTTGTTGGTGAATTGACAGTTTGTAAAGTCGTCAGTGAGAACTGCTGCTGTGATTTAGGGCGATACAGAAATACATTTAAGATTAACATTTAGATGAAGAGTGTTTGTTTCCACGACTCAACAGATTTTCTCACGTGTCATTTTGAGCTAAGTTCACAGTTGTTTGCTTGTTAGATCAGTCATGTCCAAACTCCAGTTGAGTCCATTGAGGCAGTTTGACAGTGTCATCCAGCCAACTTCAGCTCCACCAACACAGTCATGCTGTACCTTGTTGTAAATCTCAGACTCTCTGGAATCCAATTGTTCACTCTATTGTTATTTACTGACATTTGTTTATGACTGTGTCTCAACATTCTGAATAAAATGCAGCTGAGGTGTGAATCCATAAGGACGAACAGTATCATAAAACATTTTAGACTCCAGAATCCAGTCAGTCCAGCTCCAATCCAGTTGTCGGCCTCAGTTCATCAGAGAACTAAAGTGTCCCTCTTCCTAAAACGTTAGAGGTTCTGATTCTCACCAAGTCCCTGAGTCTGTGTTTGCTCTGTAATACTGCTGTTTTTAATGAGATGAACGTTCCTGTCCTCCTCAGATACTCCATCGACCGACACACCGACCTGGAGAGACTTTTCAACATCGACTCGACCAACGGCACCATCACCACCCTCAAGAACCTGGACCGAGAGATGTCCCGATGGCACAACATTTCTGTGGTGGCCACCGAGATCAGTGAGTCCGGATCTATGGTCTAGAGAACACTTACCATCATCATGTTACTGGTTGGAACAAATAACGCAAAAAAATTATGAAATTTGAGGTCATAATTTACCCTGGTCCATCCATACACTCCGATCAATCATCATGTCCTGCATGTAACGTCTGGGTCTGGTCCCTGTGTTTGCGATTACAATTGGTTGAATTCCATCCGACCAATCAGAGAGCGCCGAAGGCGGGTGTTGTAGTTAGATTTGGGTAACGTCAAGAGTTTGCGATAGTAAAGTATTCTGGTCTGGTTTTATCAAGAAATTGAAGCCGGAGCAAGAGGAATTTTTAGCAAATGTAATCGCTGGCAAAGATTGTGGCGCTACTCTCCACAGGCTCCGTTAGCGGCAAAGGAGAGGGCTAAAGCTAGGCTAAATGCTAAAGCTAGGCTAAATGCTAACGACTCACTCGGGCTCATTACAAACGTCACGGTAAACTCAGATCCAATCGTTTCAATCTGTAATTTGTACTATGGTGTGATGCGTGTGTGTGTTTTGAGTCTCTCTGTGTGTGTGTGTGTGTGTGTGTGTGTGTGTGTGTGTGTGTGTGTGTGTGTGTGTGTGTGAGTGTGTGTGTGTTTCAATTGTAAAGTCTTCTGTTCTGTGTTGAGTCAATTAGGACCAATAATTGTGTCCGAACCAAAGATGGGTTGAGTTTTGAGTTTTAGCCGTTTAAACGCCGTGAATAATGTCTGAACAAAACAAGGACAAACCGGGAAGAAGGTTTTCTGAAGAGGAAATCAAAGCCGCTGTGTAAAAAGTGTAGCTATGATTGGACTGAGCGGCTCTGGTCGTGTAAAGTGCAGCAGGATTCATTGAACTCCCGGCTCCAGGTTATTACCAAAATGTAAAACTTCGATTCGTACCATTAGAAATAAAATCCATTTACATGATTTAATTACACTGCGGCTGAATCAAGAACACTTTTGAAAACAGCACCGCACTAATTAAGTCGTGCCTTTCTCCCGAGATCAAATCCAACAGTGCGGAGAGTTCCAACAGACCTGCAGTGATGAATGGATCTTTTTTTAAACTTTCTTTCTGTCTTTCTTTCAGATAATCCTCGACAGACGACCAGAGTGCCCGTCTTCATCAAGGTTCTGGACGTGAACGACAACGCCCCGGAGTTTGCCATGTCCTACGATACGTTTGTGTGCGAGAACGTCAAGGCAGGACAGGTGCGAATAAATATATATATGTGTATGCGTATGTTTGTGTGTATGTGTGTGTGTGTACATGTGTGTGTGTGTGTTTGCAATCTGTTCAAATGAGTCATGTGGGAAATAGGTTTCATTTTTGTGTCCTGTCCTGTTGATTATCTCCAGGGAAAGCCTCAAACCCGCTACATCAGACAGATTTAACAGACGTAAATACACTGATGTTGTGTGTGCAGCTCATCCAGACCATCAGCGCAGTGGACACGGACGAGCCGCTGGTCGGACACAAGTTTGTCTTCAGCATCAGTCCCAGTAACCCCAACTTCACCATCGACGACAGAGAAGGTAAGACGTCTGAAGTACAGTAGAGCCATGGACACGGTTTTGTTACGAGTTACACTGCAAAAAGTGATGGAAAATGAGTCAAGAATTGCTCAAATTTAGCTCATTCTGACTGAGCCTTAGACGATTTGTCAATGGGACCAAGCAAAATGACCTTGTTTTAAAAAGATACAGAAATGTCTCCCTTGGAATGAGAAAATATAGATAGATAGATACATAGATAGAGAGAGAGAGATATACAGTAGATAGATAGATATAGAGAGAGAGAGATAGATACTTTATTGATCCTCGTAGGAGAAATGCAGGTGTCCAGTAGCGGCAAAAATAAAAAATAAAATTGATCATTCTAAAAAGCTAACAATAGTAATAATCAGAAACAGCCTCAGGTCACAGCAGCAGAGGTGGAGCCGCTTGGTTCAGACCATTTCTTCTGCTCTGGTCCAAAGTAAAACGCTAAAGGCTTCATCAGGATCATGAATCCTCTCCATAAATATAGCAACAGGCCTTGTCCCATTGGAGAATCTTGATGTCAGAATGTGCTCAAATTATGTAAAAAAACACTCAATTCAAGCAACAACTACTTCATATTTTATCATTTTTGCAGTGTACATCTGAATTCCTTAGGTCAGAACCGCAAACACTTAACTCTGGCATGATAGTTTGACGGTGGTGTGTCTGTCCGCCCGTCTCCCAGATAACACGGCCAACATCCGGACGCGGCGAGGCGGCTTCAGTCGGAGGGAGATGAGCATCTACTTTCTACCCGTGGTCATCTCGGATAACGACTACCCGATCCAGAGCAGCACAAGCACGCTGGTGATCCGCGTGTGTGCGTGCGACCGCAGGGGCAACATGCAGACGTGCAGCCCCGAAGTCCTGCCCTTCTCTGACGGACTGACCACCGGCGCCCTGGTGGCCATCCTGCTCTGCGTCTGCATCCTGCTCAGTGAGTCACCGGCTACATCTGCTACTCGTGCGGGACCATGATGCTTTGCAGGCGGGGGATAAAGTCATGGTCAATTATTCAGTTGTAAATGTGTTTTTGTGCAGCACTAAATCACAGCAGCGGTCACTTGTACAAAAGTGGATCAAAAACAGAGCCTAAGTCAAAGGGCAGTGTAGGAGTTTTAATAGAAAAGGCAAAATCCCAAAACAAACAGCTAGACCAAAGAACAAGAGGAAACACAAAGACAATCTGGCACATGAGGCAGAGACAAGACCCGGTGATCCAAGATGGCGGCGTATTCAAATCAGTGGCTTGTGAGTAGTGCATGGTACCTACACAGGTACTGAAAGATCAGCGGAACTCTGTTTGGGCATGCGCAGTGGACGAGCTCCCATGATGCTTTGCACTAAATACGTGTGTGTGCTCGTGCACATGCACATATGTCGTCCTGAAAATAAGTTCAGGACGACAAGGGACACTAAAATCCCCACAAAATCCTCCTTTATGAAAGCTGTAGGTTCTCTGTCAGGTTCTCTGTCAGGTTCTCTGTCAGGTTCTCTGTCAGCTGAGGTCAAGCTGTTTTAATTTACATTAAGTTCTATGGGACATTTTTCTGGGTGAATTAAGTCTGCAGTACCACAGCGCCCCCTGTGCCCATTGGTGGGACAACTATAAGCTAGAAATACTCTATTTTTATATATATATTTTTTACAGGGACAGTGCATATTAATGAACAGTTCTGTAAATATGCCAGAATTAGCCCAGCAGCTATTTTTCGACCTGTCGTCCCGTGTCTCCTGAAAGATAAAAACATGTTTGCTTCACAGACAGTTAAAATAATGTGAGCTATTTACAATATTTACAAGAACAAGACAAGAATACATTCAGTCACACATCACTCAATAGACAATACACAAACATAAAGAGACAGACGCACAACACAAACAGGCGCACACAGAGCAACATGTCAGCTGTCCATGCTATACCCAGATATTACTATAGATCCATGGGTCGGGAGCACACAAAGTAAATACACAAAAACACAGGTGAGACATATCAGGGATTGGGCAGTACTCAGGGACAGGAAGTAATGTAAGGAAGACATTTCAAAACCCAACAGGACAATCCATGATATCCACGACAGATCAGAGAATAACACAGAAAAGGCAACAATAACAAACCCATGGAGCGAGAGAGAGCCAGACATGCCAAGACATGAGTCAAAACAAAACCTGCAGCGGGAAAAGAGTAAGAAACCTCTCTCAAATTCAATTCAAATCAAATAACTTTATTAATCCAGGAGGAATAAATACAGTAAAAGAGCAGAAATGCATCATAAAATACATAAAACAGGTCTGGGGTCAGCGGTTTAAAAGGCAAATCGAGGTGAGGAGGAAGCTGGATGTGGCTCTTTCTGTTTTGAATGGGAGGGACCTGAACCTACGCCCTGATGGGAGCAGACTGTAGTGTTAGAGCAGAGTGTGGGAGGGACCTAAACCTATGCCCTGATGGGAGCAGACTGTAGTGTTAGACCAGAGTGTGGGAGGGACCTGAACCTATGCTCTGATGGGAGCAGACTGTAGTGTTAGAGCAGAGTGTGGGAGGGACCTGAACCTACGCCCTGATGGGAGCAGTCTGTAGTGTTAGAGCAGAGTGTGAGAGGGACCTGAACCTACGCCCTGATGGGAGCAGACTGTAGTGTTAGAGCAGAGTGTGAGAGGGACCTGAACCTACGCCCTGATGGGAGCAGACTGTAGTGTTAGAGCAGAGTGTGAGAGGGACCTGAACCTACACCCTGATGGGAGCAGACTGTAGTGTTAGAGCAGAGTGTGAGAGGGACCTGAACCTACGCCCTGATGGGAGCAGACTGTAGTGTTAGAGCAGAGTGTGAGAGGGACCTGAACCTACGCCCTGATGGGAGCAGACTGTAGTGTTAGAGCAGAGTGTGAGAGGGACCTGAACCTACGCCCTGATGGGAGCAGACTGTAGTGTTAGAGCAGAGTGTGGGAGGGACCTGAACCCACTCCCTGATGGGAGCAGACTGTAGTGTTAGAGCAGAGTGTGGGAGGGACCTGAACCCACGCCCTGATGGGAGCAGACTGTAGTGTTAGAGCAGAGTGTGAGAGGGACCTGAACCTACGCCCTGATGGGAGTAGACTGTAGTGTTAGAGCAGAGTGTGGGAGGGACCTGAACCTATGCCCTGATGGGAGCAGACTGTAGTGTTAGAGCAGAGTGTGGGAGGGACCTGAACCTATGCCCTGATGGGAGCAGACTGTAGTGTTAGAGCAGAGTGTGGGAGGGACCTGAACCTACGCCCTGATGGGAGCAGACCGTAGTGTTAGAGCAGAGTGTGAGAGGGACCTGAACCTACGCCCTGATGGGAGCAGACTGTAGTGTTAGAGCAGAGTGTGGGAGGGACCTGAACCCACGCCCTGATGGGAGCAGACTGTAGTGTTAGAGCAGAGTGTGGGAGGGACCTGAACCCACGCCCTGATGGGAGCAGACTGTAGTGTTAGAGCAGAGTGTGAGAGGGACCTGAACCTACGCCCTGATGGGAGTAGACTGTAGTGTTAGAGCAGAGTGTGGGAGGGACCTGAACCTATGCCCTGATGGGAGCAGACTGTAGTGTTAGAGCAGAGTGTGGGAGGGACCTGAACCTATGCCCTGATGGGAGCAGACTGTAGTGTTAGAGCAGAGTGTGGGAGGGACCTGAACCTACGCCCTGATGGGAGCAGACTGTAGTGTTAGAGCAGAGTGTGGGAGGGACCTGAACCTACGCCCTGATGGGAGCAGACTGTAGTGTTAGAGCAGAGTGTGGGAGCTGTCTGTGGAGATCCGGGCCTTTCCCTAAAACTTTGTTGTTGTAGATGTCTGTGAGTGAGTCTTGCAGCCGAGGCCTGTTTTGAAATTTAACACTGAGGGATGAATACAGGACGGACAGGCTGTTGATCCAGGACTGAGGCTGTTGATCCAGGACTGAGGCTGTTGATCCAGGACTGAGGCTGTAGATCCAGGACTGAGGCTGTAGAACCAGGACTGAGGCTGTAGACCCAGGACTGAGGCTGTAGATCCAGGACTGAGGCTGTAGAACCAGGACTGAGGCTGTAGAACCAGGACTGAGGCTGTAGACCCAGGACTGAGGCTGTAGATCCAGGACTGAGGCTGTAGATCCAGGACTGAGGCTGTTGATCCAGGACTGAGGCTGTAGAACCAGGACTGAGGCTGTAGACCCAGGACTGAGGCTGTAGATCCAGGACTGAGGCTGTAGAACCAGGACTGAGGCTGAGCGGTGCAGGTTGAAACGCCCGTCTTTTTGTGCAGTGGGGATGATTCTTTAGTCGTCGCGGAGCAGGAAGAAGCATGTCACGGCTTCTTTAAATAATCTAGATGCATGTTTTTTCTCCTGTAGTCCCTCGTGTCCGATGCTCCACATATCCCAGTATCTCTCTCCCCTGCTCCATCTGCACCTGTCACCCCTCTCCTCACGCCTCTCCTCACCCCTCCTCACCCGTCTCCCTTCCCGTAAGCGCCCGTCACCGGCTGCAGTGCTGTAATGCGGCGCAGTGGGTCTGTCAGCTTTGGACGAGTTTGGAGCCAGAAAAGAGCATTAGCGTTTGGAGTGGTGCTGCTTGTTATTCACAGAGACAGGGCACAGCGCTGGTCATGTCAGGACACAGACGTCTGTTCAAGTCATATACAAAAATCTGACATTTTATTCAACGTGGATACTTATCTGCTGTAAAGAATTATGACTTACTTACACATATCATAGTATTATATAAAACAAATGAAAAGCCTTGCGGTTGCACAGAACTACAAGTCTGTCCTAATTATATACAAAACATTAAAATCACTATTAATTCAAACATGGCATGGCAAATCTGACATATGTAACTTATCTGCTCAAAGAAAGATTACTTACTCACTTACACACGTCATAACATTATAAAAAAAAAAAAAAAAACATTCATTGTTTTGGTGAAATATGGAAGTAGTAATGATCAAAATCAGAATCATTATTTTTGCCACGTACTGTAAGTAATGATAATGGGGAAAGCACATACCTGAGACTCTTGCTTCTGCCTTTAAAAAATACAATGTAAAATTGCTCAAATAAACTACTACTACTATTACTATTACTACTATTTTTTTTACTATTCGTCCTGTACCTTGAGCTGGATTGCCTCTCCATAGATCCCACCTTACATGTGATCAATGTGTGTAAAGTCTGAGGACATTATTGAACCGGAACTAAATCCATCTCACACGTAGTACACAGTAGTATTAGTATCGCAAATATAAAATCACCACTTTTGCATTTTCGGCCTTTGTCACATCTTTAGAGCAGCTTTTCTAAGACAGAAAAGTGAAGAAGAGAGGACCGCCCTCACTCAGCCAATCATCTCTCAGCCCAAAGAGTCAGATTAAGACTCACAGGGGCCCGGGCTCTCTCCTAAGTCTGCAAAATATAATATGTTTTCTAATAAAGTACCAAAGTCACCCCATGTAATTTAGTAGTTACATCAAAGCTGGTCTAATCAATATCATGCCTATCTGGGTGGAGTCCAGGTGCTCCGGTCTATGTTCTCCCCGACTACTAAAAACATGTTCTCCCCGACTACTAAAAACATGTTCTCCCCGACTACTAAAAACATGTTCTCCCCGACTACTAAAAACATGTTCTCCCCGACTACTAAAAACATGTTCTCCCCGACTACTAAAAACATGTTCTCCCCGACTACTAAAAACATGTACTCCCCGACTACTAAAAACATGTTCTCCCCGACTACTAAAAACATGTTCTCCCCGACTACTAAAAACATGTTCTCCCCGACTACTAAATAGTAACTGTAACTCTATTTTAAATTTAAATTTATTCTTTAGAAGTGTTTTTTATTCTTATTTTTATTATCTCTTTTTGACTGTTGCACTGAGCCAAAGCAATTTCCAAGTCTGTGACCTCCCGTTACTTACGTTGGCAATAAAAATGATTCTGATTCTGATTCTGATTCTAAAAACATGTTCTCCCCGACTACTAAAAACATGTACTCCCCAACTACTAAAAACATGTACTCCCCGACTACTAAAAACATGTTCTCCCCGACTACTAAAAACATGTTCTCCCCGACTACTAAAAACATGTACTCCCCGACTACTAAAAACATGTTCTCCCCGACTACTAAAAACATGTTCTCCCCGACTACTAAAACATGTTCTCCCCGACTACTAAAAACATGTTCTCCCCGACTACTAAAAACATGTACTCCCCAACTACTAAAAACATGTACTCCCCGACTACTAAAAACATGTTCTCCCCGACTACTAAAAACATGTTCTCCCCGACTACTAAAAACATGTTCTCCCCGACTACTAAAAACATGTTCTCCCCGACTACTAAAAACATGTACTCCCCAACTACTAAAAACATGTACTCCCCGACTACTAAAAACATGTTCTCCCCGACTACTAAAAACATGTTCTCCCCGACTACTAAAAACATGTTCTCCCCGACTACTAAAAACATGTTCTCCCCGACTACTAAAAACATGTTCTCCCCGACTACTAAAAACATGTACTCCCCGACTACTAAAAACATGTTCTCCCCGACTACTAAAAACATGTTCTCCCCGACTACTAAAAACATGTTCTCTACGACTACTAAAAACTGTTCTCCCCGACTACTAAAAACATGTTCTCCCCGACTACTAAAAACATGTTCTCCCACTCCCCGACTACTAAAAACATGTTCTCCCCGACTACTAAAAACATGTTCTCCCCGACTACTAAAAACATGTTCTCCCCGACTACTAAAAACATGTTCTCCCCACTACTAAAAACATGTTCTCCCCGACTACTAAAAACATGTTCTCCCCGACTACTAAAAACATGTTCTCCCCGACTACTAAAAACATGTTCTCCCCGACTACTAAAAACATGTTCTCCCCGACTACTAAAAACATGTTCTCCCCGACTACTAAAAACATGTTCTCCCCGACTACTAAAAACATGTTCTCCCCGACTACTAAAAACATGTACTCCCCGACTACTAAAAACATGTTCTCCCCGACTACTAAAAACATGTTCTCCCCGACTACTAAAAACATGTTCTCCCCGACTACTAAAAACATGTTCTCCCCGACTACAAAAACATGTACTCCCCAACTACTAAAAACATGTACTCCCCGACTACTAAAAACATGTTCTCCCCGACTACTAAAAACATGTTCTCCCCGACTACTAAAAACATGTTCTCCCCGACTACTAAAAACATGTTCTCCCCGACTACTAAAAACATGTTCTCCCCGACTACTAAAAACATGTACTCCCCGACTACTAAAAACATGTTCTCCCCGACTACTAAAAACATGTTCTCCCCGACTACTAAAAACATGTTCTCTCCGACTACTAAAAACATGTTCTCCCCGACTACTAAAAACATGTTCTCCCCGACTACTAAAAACATGTTCTCCCCGACTACTAAAAACATGTTCTCCCCGACTACTAAAAACATGTTCTCCCCGACTACTAAAAACATGTTCTCCCCGACTACTAAAAACATGTTCTCCCCAACTACTAAAAACATGTTCTCCCCGACTACTAAAAACATGTTCTCCCCGACTACTAAAAACATGTTCTCCCCGACTACTAAAAACATGTTCTCCCCGACTACTAAAAACATGTTCTCCCCGACTACTAAAAACATGTTCTCCCCAACTACTAAAAACATGTTCTCCCCGACTACTAAAAACATGTTCTCCCCGACTACTAAAAACATGTTCTCCCCGACTACTAAAAACATGTTCTCCCCGACTACTAAAAACATGTTCTCCCCGACTACTAAAAACATGTTCTCCCCGACTACTAAAAACATGTTCTCCCCGACTACTAAAAACATGTTCTCCCCGACTACTAAAAACATGTTCTCCCCGACCACTAAAAACATGTTCTCCCCGACTACTAAAAACATGTTCTCCCCGACTACTAAAAACATGTACTCCCCGACTACTAAAAACATGTTCTCCCCGACTACTAAAAACATGTTCTCCCCAACTACTAAAAACATGTTCTCCCCGACTACTAAAAACATGTTCTCCCCAACTACTAAAAACATGTTCTCCCCGACTACTAAAAACATGTTCTCCCCGACTACTAAAAACATGTACAATAGGTGTGAATGTAGTGCATGAGGGAATGGATGATGTAGGTTGGGGAATGTAAAAATATGAACTCTGAACATTGTGACTTTGGCCTGTAAAAATGTGATATATGAATAGATTACGTACTTACTAGTTATAGCAAAATTCATAGAGCCAGGTCACACAAATCCGTTTCAGTTTTTCCAACTAAACTGATTTCAATCTGAAGAGACCAAAGACACAATTAATACATTAATAATGATTTATTTGTTTGGCGCATTGACCCCGGCAGTGACACTTGCAGCGATGAGATTGATTGCAGCTGAAGATTATCTCAGATCCCCTGGGGTCAAACACTGGTGGTGGCTAGAGTATGGTGTGAATGGAGCGTAGGCGGAGCAGGAGCCAGAGCAGGAGCCAGAGCAGGAGCCTAGAGCCAGAGCAGGAGCCAGAGCAGGAGCCTAGAGCCAGAGCAGGAGCCTAGAGCCAGAACAGGAGCCAGAGGGGGTGCTGGGGTGGTGGTGGGTGTTTAAGAGCCTCAGGAAGCGTTGCTTGTCAGGAAGTGGCTGCCTTTTAAACTGCCCGCCTTGCTGTGAGAGGGTTGGCAGGAGGCTGGCCGGGCTGTGTGATTGGCTGAGGCTCGAGGCTGGCAGCGCTGTGAGATTGGCAGGCACTCGGTCTTTCAGTCTGAACCTGCGCATTCAGTTTCATTTTTAATTGAAAACAAAAGTCTGAAAAATGTACATGACATCATTATCACGCTGTCGGTCTGGGTTGTATAAGGACCACCTGAAGCCCCCGGTGTTTGCGGCGGCTGTCATTGTCCGGTCTGCTCGGTTTTACAGATGAGTTTGTTGCCATGGTGATTATCTCGGCTTGTGTTCCCTCCTCGCTGACAATATCCCGGCGTGAGGCACAAACACAAATACTTGTTACCGACTTGTTTTGGGCTCGATGTCGAACAATCAGAGAAGTCAAAGCAAACCTCAGCCAATTCCTTAAAAAATATAAACATATGTACCAGGGACGTAGGCAGAAATTATGAATAGGGCGGGCCTGGAGAAAAGTGGGCGGGCCAACTTTTGCCAGAGGAAAAATCAATAGGATATCCAATAATACCTGCAGACGTGCCTCCTCGGTTTGACAGCTTTTAGTGAACAGCACAGACTGTAGTGGATACAGGCGCTAACTAGCTACAGTACAGTATAAACAATGGTGAATTAAAGTAGATTCAGGAATATATTTGGCTGTAGAGGATTTAACCTTTAGAGTTTTAATAGATGGTAAACATTATTATATTTGGAAATATAATATATTGTGGAAGAAATCAGCCGGAGACGAAGAGCTGAGTCTCAGCACCAACTCAGCAGAGGAGGAGCGCATATCCTCCTTGGGGGCGGAACGTAAACCCAACAAAACCCACGGCAACCTGTCCACCCAGCTATTGTCCACAAGAGAGGCCCGGAGGGCACCTTTCATAGTCCTGTGAAACCTCTCGCATAACCCGTTAGCCTGCGGATGATATGCCGTGGTCCGGTGAAGTTTAACCCCCAAACTCCCAGCCACTGAAGTCCACAGCTCCGAGGTGAACTGGGGGCCCCTATCAGAAGTCAGGTCCAGAGGAACCCCAAATCGCGCCACCCACGAATAAATAAAAGCCCGGGCCACGTCTGCCGCAGTAGTAGACAACAGGGGCACCACCTCCGGCCATCGAGTGGTCCTGTCCACCATGGTCAGGAGGTGAGTGAACCCCCGGGAAGGGGGAAGAGGGCCCACCAAGTCCACATGGACATGTTCAAAACGTCTCTCAGGAACTGAAAAAGGACCCAAGGGAGCTTTCACGTGACGCTGCACCTTGGCCCTCTGGCAGGCCACGCATGTGGAGGCCCAAGTCTTAACGTCTTTTTTGAGGCCAGGCCACACGAACTTATCACTCACCAACTTCACCGTCGCTTTCACACCGGGGTGAGACAGGGAGTGAACAGCCTCGAAAATGCGGGCGCGCCAGACCGCCGGTACCAAAGGACGTGGTCTGCTCATGGACATGTCACACAGAAGCGTCGCCCCGCTGTCCTGAAAAACCACATCTTCCAACCTCAAACTAGAACCAGTGGTGCGCAACTCCTGCACCCCCGAATCCGCCAGCTGGTCCACCGCCATCTCTGCATAGTCAATGCCTAAATGGACCGTGGAAACCTGAGCCCGAGAGAGACAGTCCGCCACTGCATTGTCCTTTCCTGCAACATGTCGTATATCACAGGTAAACTCAGAAATAGCAGAAAGGTGCCTTTGTTGCCGCGCCGACCATGGTTCCGAGGTTTTGGCCATAGCAAATATAAGGGGCTTGTGATCCACATAAGCAGCAAACTCTCGGCCCTCCAGTAGAAATCTGAAGTGGCGTGTGGCAAGAAAAAGGGCCAAGAGCTCCCTGTCAAACGCACTGTACCTCCTCTCTGACTCCCGCAACCTTCTACTGAAAAAGGCTAGTGGCCGCCAGGCACCATCCGACCACTGCTCCACCACTGCCCCCACCGCGCAATCAGACGCATCGGTAGTAAGCGCAACCGGTGCAGTAGGATGCGTTAACAACGCAGCCTCCGCCAGTGCAGTTTTAGCCCGGTCAAACGCCAACACCCTTTCAGGGGACCACTCTACGACTTGGTTACCCCTCCTATCCCTCAAAGCGTCATACAAAGGGTGCATAAGGTGGGCGGCATGGGGAATGAAGCGGTTATAAAAGTTAATCATGCCCAAAAACTCCTGCAAAGGCTTCACAGAGGGGGGGCGGGGAAAAGCTAAAACTGCTTTGACCTTAGCAGGGAGTGGTACAGCACCCTGCCTCGAAACGCGGTGTCCCAGGAACTCAATTTCTGACAGTCCAAATTGGCACTTAACTGGATTCACGATCAACCCGTGCTCAGTGAGCCGCTCGAAAAGGAGGCGGAGGTGTAAGCTGTGCTCCTCAACGGAAGGACTCGCCACCAGTATATCGTCCAGATACACGAATATGAAGGACATGTCACGCAAAACCGAGTCCATCAACCGCTGAAAAGTCTGTGCTGCCCCCTTCAGGCCAAATGGCATTCTCAAAAACTTGAAAAGGCCAAAAGGCGTAATAACCGCTGTCTTAAGGACATCTCGCGGGTGGACTGGCACCTGGTGGTAACCTCTAACCAAATCCACCTTCGAAAACACGACAGCCCCCGCCAGGTGCCCAGAAAAATCCTGAATGTGGGGGACCGGGTACCTGTCGTTAGTCAGTTAGTTAGTTAGTTAGTTGTTAAGGCGACGGAAATCTCCACACGGGCGCCAACCACCGTCTGATTTGGGAACCATGTGTAAAGGCGAAGCCCACGGGCTGTCTGAACGGCGCACGATTCCAAGCCTCTCCATGTTGGCAAACTCCTTTTTAGCAATCAACAATCTTGCCGTATCCAAACGGCGCGCCCGAGCGAAAACCGGCGGGCCCACGGTAGTGATGTAATGCTCCACCCCGTGCTTAGCTACCGCCGCAGAAAATGTGGGAACCGTAAGGGCAGGAAACTCCGCTAACAGACGCTGGTACACGTCCCCAACGGCCAGCATGTTAGCCAGAATGCGCCCAGCTTTCCTCAGCGTACATGGATAAGAACTAAAAGACACGGCATCAATCAAACACCTGTTAGACACATCCACTAATAGCCTGAATGCACATAAAAAATCTGCACCCAGGATAGGAACTGACACCGAAGCAATCACAAAGTCCCAGCTAAATTCACGGCCATTAAAACACACTGTCAAAAACCTGGTGCCAAAGGTGCGGATGGAAGTCCTGTTAGCTGCATCCAGCGGAGGGCCCCGTCATTTCCCAGTAGCGTCGGCCGTGGAGGGGGGTACGATGCTGCGTTGCGCTCCCGAATCCACAAGAAAACAACGTCCTGAAGCCCCATCCTCAATGAAAAGCAGCCTGTCCTGGTCACCGGTGGCTTGCAGTCTCCCAATCCGGAAAGCGATAACAGACGGTCAGCCCGCTCCATATCAGAGAGCTGGTATAACTGGAGCAATCCCCTCTTTAGCGCCTCGTACTTCCCCTCGTGAGGTGGGTCGCGGAGAAGCCCCATCATCCTCCGAGTAGTGGCCGAATCCAAGGCCGCAACGATATGATAATATCTCGTGATGTCCGTCGTTATGCCGCGTAGCTGAAACTGCGCTTCCACATGTTGAAACCACGGCTCTGGATCGTGCGTCCAAAACTCTGGCAGTTTCACCATAGCCGCGAATACAGCCGGCGGGGTGACGGCAGCGCCAGCATTATCTTGCGACATGCTTATAATGTCCAACTTCAGGGTCACCAATGTGGAAGAAATCAGCCGGAGACGAAGAGCTGAGTCTCACTTATTTATTCCAAAAACTAATCACACACAGGTGGCCACACTCCCCTCTTATCTCTTCCCCCCGGAACCCGCTCCTTCACAATAACACATTTGTGTGTGCGTTCACCAGCCACCACAATTTAATATATTTATTATATTTGTATTATATATGGAATTATAAAACAAATCACATACATTTATTATCTTAATAGTCAAACTCAAGGCTTTGGTTTGAATGTCAATGTTCAGCATTTTTTTGAAGAGTGAGTAAAAGTATCAATCATAAAAAATGGTGAGAAAAATCACGCAAGCCTTCTCAGGGCGGGCCAGGTCCTGGGCCAATCATGGCCCTAATGGGCCTACGTCACTGATATGTACATAGGACCTTTTTCATTCACTGCAAAAAAGTGATGAAAAATAAGTCAAAATTGCTCTAAAATAAGATTAGGCAATGGGATAAACAAAAAATATCTTGTTTTAAAAAGATATAAGAAATGTTTACCAGTTCTAGAAATAAGACTAATTGGTTTTGTCCCATTGGAGAATATTGTTTTTAAGTCAGAATGAGCTCAAATTCAGAAGAAAGAACCACTCGATTCAAGCCATTATTATCACTTTTTGCAGTGTTGTACCTGGACATTCATTATGATGCTTTATACTTGTGAGAAAGAGCCATGTGAGTCACTATATGCCTCTCTGGGCTGATAGAAGTACAAAGCAATAAGCGTTAACGTGTTGCTAAGATGGTTGCTAAGACATGCTGGAAATTCCCCCCGAGAATGAAGGCATCTGATTGGTCCATGTGGCTCATATATCTGGATATAAAAATTCATAATGTAAACCAGATATTTTTTAAACCCGAATAGAGTCGGGCTTTGTTGAGCTAGCGAGTTAGCATTGTCCGACTATATACAGTCTATGCTAGCTAGCATCTTGTGTCTTGGGCTAGTTTCAACTACTTTAAAAAACATCAGAAAATAACAGATACTTCTAAATATGGAAATAAACAGGATTATGGATTATCAAATGTCTTCTAAAGCCATGAATTAAGTTATTTTACTCATAATTCAACAATACTTCCTCTTTTTGCATAATTCAGTCATTTTTATCCCTCTCAACGGACGCATTATTAAATCCATTCATTTCCTGCGCGGCGCGTGGAGCCGTCAGTCTCACAATGCTCGCTAAAGTGGAAAAATAGTTCAAATACATTATTTATTGATGCGCCCTTGACCATAAGCGCTGCACTTTTTTTTTTTGCTCTCGGCTGGTAAAATGATAGCTGGCGTCGCGCTTACAGGCCTCGATTGGTCCTTCAATAAAAAGGAGAAGGGAAAAAAAAAAGACGCCATACAACTTCTACCTGAGCGAGAGAAGCCATTTTGTTAAGTGCATCCATTTATTTTGCGGTGAAAGGGGCCTGCATTGTGGTCTTGTATAACATGGAACGCAAAGAGAGATGGGGCTTATTTATTCACTGTTACCGTGGCAACCCATAACTCACGTTGATCACACAAAAAGAACGGTTTGGGCGGAATGCTCGAGGCTATACAATGTCTGTTTGCTATATCCATGAAGGACAGATACTAATACTTGTGACTCAGGTACTTCTGAAAGGTATTTTCGTATTACTGTGACTTAGAACATGTAATTTAATTATGCAATGAAGGGGTAGGGCATACAAGTATTTAGAGTAGGATAGATGAGAGTAGAGTAGAGTAGGGTAGACCAGAGTAGAGTAAAATAGAGTAGGGTATGGTAGTGAGTGTAGTGTTGAGTAGAAAAGGGTAGGTTAGGGTAGAGAAGGGAAGAGTAGCAGGAGGGGTGAGTAGAAACGAGTAGTGTACAATAGGGTAGGGTAGCTTAGAGTAGAGTAGACATGTGTATGGTAGGGTAGAGCAGAGTAGAGTAGAGTAAGGGAGAGTAAGAGTAGAGTAGGGTAAGTTCATAAATAATCACAGTATATTAAAAAGAATCCCTCAGTTGTAGCACAGCTAAACAGAGCTGTCTTTAACCTGGTTTTAAACATTGTCAGAGAGGAGGCCTGTCTCACATCTACTGGAAGATTGTTCCAGATTTTAGCAGCCTCCCCATGTTTAGTCCTGACTCTGGGCACTAGCAGGAGTCCAGTCCCTGTGCTCCTCAGAGTCCCAGCAGGAGTCCAGTCCCTGTGCTCCTCAGAGTCCGGGCTGGTTCATATGGGACTAACATGTCACTAATATATTTTGGTGCGAGGCCATGGAGAGACTTGTAACAAGCAGAGCTGTTTTAAAGTCTATTCTCTGAGCCACAGGAAGCCAGTGCAGAGACCTGAGGACCGGACTAATGCGGTCGTACTTCCTGGTTCTAGTCAGGACTAATGTGGTCGTACTTCCTGGTTCTAGTCAGGACTCGAGCTGCTGCATTTTGAATGTACTGCAGCTGTTTTACAGCCTGTTTGGACAGACCTGTGAGCAGGCCATTGCAGTAGTCTAACCTACTGGAGACAAATGCATGGATAAGAATCTCCAAGTCTGCTTTAGACACTATGTTTTTGATCCTGGCAATGTTTTTTAGATGGTAAAAAGCTGCTGATGTTACTGATTTGATGTGGCTATTAAAATTTAAGTCTGAGTCCAGTATTACCCCTAGATTTCTGTCCTTGTTTGAAGGTTTTAGGGAGAGAGACTGTAGGTGACAGATGACGCTCTCTCTTTGTTTCTGGGGACCAAAGACAATCATTTCAGTTTTGGCTGCGTTTAGCTGAAGGAAGTTGTTTTGCATCCACTCACTGATCTGTTGGATACAGTGAAGGAGTGAGTCCACTGGTCCATGTTCTCCTGCAGTCAGTGAGACATAGATCTGAGTGTCGTCTGCATAGTTATGATAGGAAACGTTGTTTCTGTGTATTAACTGACCTAACGGCAGCATGTAGAGATTGAACAGAAGAGGTCCCAGGATCGACCCCTGTGGTACTCCACAGGTCAGGGCCATATGATCTGAGACACAGTTTCCAATCTCCACAAAGTACTTCCTGTCTTTAGGGTAGAGTAGAGTAGAGTAGGGTAGGGTAGGGTAGGGTAGGGTAGGGCACAGCAAAGGAGGGCTGAGAAAGGGGGCTTTAATCTACCCTTGAACAAAGAAGTGATTTTATATGGTGTGGATGAGACAAAACACAAATCCAGGCCTGTTTTGATTCATATACAACAACCTAAAGTTCTTCCTTCAGGGTCCCCTCAGGTTACAATCACATCAAACGAGTTGTGTTGCTTTTGTAGAGCAAGGTCAGAGAGACTTAGCCTGTGTTTATTTCCTAATGGGAGCGTGGTGGTTTCCGGTGAGGCGCAGTATTGTGACATCTGCTCATTATCCACGGAGTTTCTCACCGCTCTCCCCCGACAGACAGTGTCACTCACCTCCGCACCACACCGGGGGCGCCGCTGAGCACGACCGCTGAGCCAGGCCTCTATACACCCACTGAACCCACCAGAAAGAGCCTTTATACCGGCCCCCCGTGTAGACGTGGACACACACATGCACACACAGTCACGAACAGACACATATACACACACACACAGACACATACACACACACACACAGTCAAGAACAGACACATACACACAAAGTCATGAATAGACACACACACACACAGAGTCATGGACAGACACACACACACACAAACAAAGACAGTCACAGGCAGACACACAGTCACGGACAGACATAAATATACACGCGAACACACACACATATATACGCACTAACATGTATGCGAACACCTACACCCACGCACACGAACATGTACACACACACACACACACATACATACATACGAATATACACAAACATTTACATGTACAGAGACGTTAGAAAAGTATGAACACAGACAAACATGTACACACACACACACACACACACTGACAAACAGATACACACACGCAGCGCAGCCAGGCAGAAGGTGCTGTAATTAACACTCAGCCGGAGCCGCGACACAAGTACGGCGCCTGCAGAGGGACAAAAAGGCAAACGTGAAGAGGGACAGGCGTGGAGCTGGCAATGGACCGACTCATTTGTCACAAGGACCAGTTTATTTTCAGATAATGGGCAGGTTTTGTGGAGTTTTGGAAAAAGTCGAAGCAACAATGTAGATCTACATCAGATACCGATTGTAACTCACTCCAGATAGCTCCGAGATTAGGGTTCTAATAAATTATCAATAAATGTAAGTGTTTATTATAGCACTTAATCAGCAGCAAGTTGTTGATTCGCCAACAACGGATCAGAGAATCAAATAGTTCAAACATAGGGAATATGATAGTAACAAATTAGGGCTGTCAAACTATTAACATTTTTTAGTTGATTAATCACATAGTAATGGTGAGTTAACTCATGATTAATTGTATTTTTAACATTCTATTTAAAATCCACTCCAATTGAAGTTAAATGAGATCATCAAATGTAACGACACATTGTCGTTCAGACCAAATTTACTTAAGTGTGATTTGCTCACAACCTTTTACTTTTGGGCACAACCAACATGAGCTGTTTATGACAGGGAAAATGTACGTACCCCAGCTTTAATTTAGCGAGACACGGACACTTCCCAAGGCTCCATAGTTCAGCTTCAGCAGTGTATTTGTGTGCACAGGTTACGCACATGTGACGCCAAGACACGCACACAACATGCAGAGAATAGTTCTGTGGCGTGTATGGTCATGGGTCACGTTACCGCGGCGACATTGGCCGTGTTGTTGTTAGTGGATCACAGCCGCTGGAGGTGGGACCCTCTGTCCAGAGCTGCCGCAGCTGCTCCTCATTCTGAGTGATATTATTGGATACATGGGCAGTTTAACTAAGATGAAGACAGAAGGAATGAGGAGCACACAGCACAAGATTAATGAGCAATAACTCTATACTAAACAACAACAAAAATCTAATTGTTTAATCAAAACAAACAAGTATAAAGTACTGTGTATTCTAGTGCAATTGATATATACATACATATATATGTTGAAAATATATATTTTCAACATTTCGCCACATTTCAGGCTTCAAACATAAAGATATAAAACATAATTTTTTTGTCATGAATCAACAACAAGTGGGACACAATCGTGAAGTAGAACAAAATGTATTGGATAATTTAAACTTTTTTAACAAATAAAAAACTGAAAAGTGGGGCGTGCAATATTATTCGGCCCCTTTACTTTCAGTGCAGCAAACTCAGTCCAGAAGTTCAGTGAGGATCTTTGAATGATCCAATGTTGTCCTAAATGTCTCCGTATAAATGCACCTGCTCTTTGATAGTCTCAGGGTTCTGTTTAAAGCGCAGAGAGAACCATGAAGACAAAGGAACACACCAGGCAGGTCCGAGATACTGTTGTGGAAAAGTTTAAAGCCGGATTTGGATACAAAAAGATTTCCCAAGCTTTAAACATCTCAAGGAGCACTGTGCAAGCAATTATATTGAAATGGAAGGAGTATCACACCACTGCAAATCTACCAAGACCCGGCCGTCCCTCCAAACTTTCCTCTCAAACAAGGAGAAGACTGATCAGAGATGTAGCCAAGAGGCCCATGATCACTCTGGATGAACGCACGCCCCACTTTTCAGTTTTTTATTTGTTAAAAAAGTTTAAATTATCCAATAAATTTTGTTCCTCTTCACGATTGTGTCCCACTTGTTGTTGATTCTTGACAAAAAAATCATTTTTATATCTTTGTTTGAAGCCTGAAATGTGGCGAAATGTTGAAAGGTTCAAGGGGGCCAAATACTTTTGTAGTATGTTTACATCTGTACATGTTGGCAGCAGTATGTTTACATCTGTTCATGTTGGCAGCAGTATGTTTACATCTGTACATTAGCAGCAGTATGTTTACATCTGTACATTAGCAGCAGTATGTTTACATCTGTACATTAGCAGCAGTATGTTTACGTCTGTACATTAGCAGCAGTATGTTTACATCTGTACATTAGCAGCAATATGTTTACGTCTGTACATGTTAGCAGCAGTAAGTTTATATCTGTACATTAGCAGCAGTATGTTTACATCTGTACATTAGCAGCAGTATGTTTACATCTGTACATTAGCAGCAGTGACTTGTGGTTCTATATTACACCCTCTGACAGTATTAAAGTTATTATTGCACAGATGAGTACAGTAAAGACATTACAATGACAGTTACAGTTCAATATTGCACATTCTGACGTTGGTTCATGAAATTGCACCGAAGCGTGACATACAAGGTCAGGTCGGCAGAGAAGGTTAGTCCTTGTCGTTCGTTGTTCAAACACTTGCCAAATGAAAAGCCCACGACAGCTGATGTATTCACGTGTTGACAGTTGCTTTGGCACAGCTCGTAGATAAACTCTAGAGTTACACAACAGCCTCGGCTCCTCCACCGCCGTGTACAGTACGCTCCACTGCTGAGAGCAAAGCGCCGCGCAGCACTTTGTAGAGCCAAGGCGCCATTCACGGCACAAGAAAGAGAAAGCTTTTCCTCTGAATCTTTAATAAAAGGAGGTGAGCCTGAGGCAGAGCGGGGGGGGGGGGGGGGGGGGGGCGAAGGGGGGGTTTCATCACGGCGGCAAATGCCTCCGCACTCTCCCCGGTGCTCCTAATGCGCCACATATGTTCCACGACACTGCGCGGCAAGACCGTGTCCAATTTAGAGGTCTCGGGAACAAGAAACTCCCGTGTTTGCATCACTTCTACATCGGTGTGTGAATGTTCTTTTCTTTTTTTTTTTTTAGAATGAGTTGGTGTAACAGTGGAAGTGGAGAAATGAACATTTGTAAGAGTTCAAGATAAAACCGGTTGTGTTCATTTCCTTTACAGACAAACTAATTGATCAAACTATTAACATCTATTTCAGGTTCTGGAGAATTATCTGGTGCTGAAATAGTATCATCTTTCAAGCTGGGAGCCTATCATTTTGCCTTTCATTCAACTAATACTTTGTGTGTGGCCCAAAAGAAAGAATATTGGGAAAAAATTGCACCACGATACATTCATTACAAAACATTTGCGTACCCTTTAGATAGAGCCTTGTGAGTCACCGTTTGACTCTTGAGGCTAAGAGCTGAATGAAGTCCTTTCTTTTTCTTGTCTCTGTCTGAAAAAGCTGATTCAAACATGTGACAGAACACCACTGCCTCTAGTTTATGCAGAAAAAATATGTTTAGAATGAGACCTATTTCACCAAAAACATACAGTTGTGCTTGGAATTTTCAACCACGCAGTTAGACATTAATCCTATGCTACCAGCAGAGATAGGAATTGAATTTCTATTTTTTTTCTTTTGAGAAATTACCAGAACTAATTGATGGTGTGATGTCATAGTGGTAGAGTGTCATCATACTATAGTAGAGCTGCGACAAGATCTTTTAGACAGGAGGTTTTCTGATATTAGCGTGTATATGTATCTTAAAACAACTCCAGATCTGTTTTCGGTCTGGTTCCAATATTCAAACATGGTTAAAAGCTCAAAAACAAGCATTGAGTGTCGCTTGAGCAAACCGTCTAACGCTCTTTCCCTTATGTTCTGTCTGTGCAGTGATCGTGGTTCTGTTCGCCGCCCTGAAACGCCAGCGCAAGAAGGAGCCGCTGATCATCTCCAAAGAGGACGTGCGCGACAACGTGGTCAGCTACAACGACGAGGGCGGCGGCGAGGAGGACACGCAGGCCTTCGACATCGGCACGCTGCGAAACCCGGAGGTCATGGACGCCAACAAGCTGCGGCGAGACATCATTCCCGAGATGCTGTTCCCGTTCCGCCGCAGTTCCCCCATCAAGGACAACACCGACGTGCGAGACTTTATCAACAGCCGGTTGCAGGAGAACGACACAGACCCCACCGCGCCTCCTTACGACTCGCTGGCCACCTACGCCTACGAGGGAAGCGGCTCGTTAGCGGAGTCGTTGAGTTCGCTGGAATCGGCGGCGACAGAAGGCGACCAAGAGTACGATTACCTAAGCAACTGGGGCCCGCCGTTCAAAAAGCTAGCGGAAATGTACATAGGCAAAACAGCGGACACCTAGAATAGACCTTTTCCATGTTTTTAACTATTGTGGAGCTAGCTGACGTCGACCCGTGCAAGCTAGCCCGCTGTTCGTCTACCTATCTATCGAATTATATCTGTTTTTATGTCAAGATTGGCTGGATTTGCGCCAGTCGACTGTTTGTTGATTCTCGTTAGCGCGCTAGCATACTGAACAATGAATCCAGCAATGGATGTAATAGACTTGAACTCAGTTTTACAGAGGATTACTGTATTCTTGAAGTTTTTTCGGTCATAATCAGTAAAGATGCCTTTGAATTTTAGGGTTTTCGTGAACTATGGTGTGGACATGTGTTTTGTATTGAACGATAGTAGTATTGTCGTCCGTCGGGAGCAGACTGGGTGTTAGGGAATTGCTTAGGAGTGGCGTATCTTTTCAGGCCACTCGCGACAGTGCGTGTACAAAATGTTTCTATGGACATCCCAATAATATTCTATTTGCTATCTCCGTTGACCACGTGAATGGTTGTGGCAGTTTATTTGTCAAACTGTGAATTCATGCTATCATCTAATCGGTGTAAAATGTAATGGAAAAGTGTATGTTGTAGGAAAATCGTCTTACACTGGATTCATGCTGTTTGAATGCGGAGTCATAGTGTTTTATATTTATATTTTTATACATATTTTCTTAATAAAATTGTGAGAAAAACCTTGTATTTTCACTATAGTTTACTGATGGAAAATCACTGGAAGTTCTCGACTTGACACTTTCAATTAGTGTCGTGCAAAGCAGCCGGCTTCGCTTCTCTCTCTGCTTTTTGTGGCTTTCACAAACGTATTAAGGAAAGAAATGACTGTCTCTGAACCGAAAGCTGAAGTTTCCAAAGTATAATTCTAAGCAGTCTTTGTAAAACGAATTGGCCAATATTAAGAACTTTTAAATGTTATTCCTACATTGATTGACAAATGTTTATCTAAGTAAGAAAAACTCAACACACATGCCCCAGTCTTGCTATGACAAATCCAAATGACTATGCATAAAGAAATTGTTGTTTTAAGACACAAGTATTCCCTTTATTATCGGTTTGGACATTTCCCTGGTGAAATTACATTCTTTACAATCACATCAGTCATGGCTAGGTTTGCAGCTGGTAATTTTCAAATATGGAAAAAAAAAAATCCTCCCTCTGGCTTTTGCATAAGGATTTACAGGCAGACATTATTTTACCCTTCCTACTTTTTTCACCATATATTTTCATCTTCAGATATAATTCCCCATTCTAAAACATGAAATCACAAAGTAAATAGTTTAGATGTATTTTAATAATGGACAATATTTCTTCTTTAATTCTCCTTTAAACAGTGGTCATCGGACATTCTCTTTTTATTGGTCTAATTTCGAGCCCCAACTCAATTTTTACTGCTACAATGATGGGTCTAGTTCACACAGACACTTAAAACAAAAAATGTCACCAAAACATGTTTAGGTGGTTACGCAGTTCTTGCTTCTTTACATTTGTTGTCTCCTAACATAAGAAGACAAAATTATCATTCTACATTTAACCTCAGACAATCCTCAAAGCTTCTGAACATGAGATGAATCAATTTATGGACAACCAAAAAGCCAGATTTCTAAGTACTGGAACCAATAATGTACTACTGGCAATGTTCTGAGATGGAATCAAATTGTTACTTAACTGTTCAAGAGTGCACAGACGTAAGCCATACATCTCCAGCTCCGCAAATAAAAAAGAAAAAGCAAAATGATGAGGACAGAGTCTTCTTGATAAGTGGTAATTGGGTTCACTTTGAGCCCAGTGAGGAGGGCTGCGTGTGCCCGACTGCTCTTACAAAAGGTCCTTCAACTGAACTGTGGAATCATGACTCTTTTGTTCCCGATGGTGACGTCCCTGACAAAGTACGAGCGAATGTTATAGAAGCAGCTCGATCGTATAATAATGTTGTTTTGAACATCAATAAAGGAGGCGTGTACTTGAATCCATTCATTTGTTTATTATTTTCAAACATGCCTGTAATATACAAACAAATATTGACAGGGCACAAGAGCATAAGTTTTGATATTTTACAAATTTCATTGATATACATCATAAATAATGTGGGTCCCAGTATTGACCCTTGTGGTACCCCCCCCAGGTTACTTTCCTATATCTTGATTTGTGTAGTTGTACAATCTGTCGTCTCTCTCGCACAACGTCCTCTGTTCCAAAGACAATGTAAAGTGTTAGGGTTTGTATATTGGACCCCAAAGCAGACTCTGACACTGAAAGTGGCTCCAGAAAAAAATAAAGTTTATTTTACAAAAAAGGTTGGACGGTGAAGACAGGAGGCAGGCTGGCTGGTCAAAAAGGCCAACGTGAGACATAGAATAATCTGGCAGCGAAGTGGAGTGGAACCCAGGCTCTTGAACACTGCAGATGAGGAATTGTATTTTTAAGCAAAAATAATTCATACAAAAATTGCAATTCTGCATATGGGAGTAGTACTTTGTCAGGATGAAAAAAACAAAACACTACTATCTCACATCAGAAGCGGTTGACCTCATTCTAAATTTTAATAATATCACTTCTAGAGCATATTCTTATTTAAGGCACAAAGTTATAAAGGCATAGTTGGACAATAGCGACATCTAGGGACATTTATGCAGAATTGTTAAGAGATAAGAAAAGAGTTTATGGTTAAGGTTAGGGTTAGGGTATAGTGTCCCAATTGCAATTTTCTGTGAGATGCAGTGCTACACAGATCTGCATGAATGAATAAAAATAAAAATAATTCATGGACTTTGGGTCATTCCGCTATTCCCAATGGCTTCTACAGTACGTGTTTGTTGTTCTTGCTTGTTTCTCCAATCTGTTGTATATGTAAAGTCCTCCGACACGACTGCTGCCGTGATTTAGGGCTATACAAAAATAAATGTAACTGAATTGAATCGAAAATTGAGGCAAAAATGTAGTGACCTGTGTCCACATCCCCACCAATGTTGTAGAAATAAATCTGTGTCTATTCTAACACATGCCAAACTGACCTGTTTTTGTCTCTACCTCAGCATAAAATGTGAAATGTTGCTGTAAAAGTCCAACATATTGTCCTGTTCCGACCCCTGAGGAGGACAGACTGTATTTCTGTTGATAAAGCGCAGTGGCCGACCGCGGTGTAGATTTCAGTACAATCTGAAAACGATGGACACAGCAAAATGCAACACCTGCAGATGGAGAGAAAATACATGAGGCGTGAAACAGCTGCGCTTCAACTCAGCGGGAAACAAAGCAGCGATTGGAAAGGCCACCGGCTCTGCACGCCGCGCAAGAATGGAGAAGATACGGCTATATTTACAGCAGGTTTCAGGACGGCACGGGAGAAAGAAGACGAACGACGTGCCAATACGAATGTGAGTGAGCAAAAGAGGATTGAAGAGGTTCTCTGTCTAAAGCCAATCATGTAACTTCTGCTTTAAAAAAAAACATATATTGCAAGCAAAGTTATGAGCATCACAGTTTCTATTATCATATACAACATACCAATAACAAAATGTATAAAAAATACGTAAATGGGCGTGAGAATGAGAACTTATTTAATCCAACCCCATTTTCCATTTACACATACGCTTCTCTGCCACTGCAAACTTAAACATTTATGAAAAAAAAAAGAATACCCAGAACGCAAGAATTGATACTAAAATACAAAGAAATGGGTAAACAAGACCAGTGTCAGTGATGGTAAGACAAGTGTACAAATGTTAATAAAAACCATATACCGATACAGGTTATACCAGTTGGAGGCGGATCCTGACTCCAAAAGGTCCGTAAGCACCTGCGTTGACATGCTGCAATCACACTCTGTGTTGGTGGGGGTGTACCCGGAAAGAGAATTACCCAATGCTTTTGTATGCCACCTTCTCTCCTCTCAAAAAAAAAGTCTTTACGGGACGGTCCAATAGTGGCTCTTGGTCCAAAGCTACGTTTCAGATGCTGTCAATGCTGAAGGAAGTATTTTTTTATTTTGGACCAGTCTATAGCCGCGGTGGACTTTACCTATTGCATGTTTTTAGTGGTAGGGGAAACTGGAGCATCTGGAAGAAACCTACGCAGATGTGGGGAGAACATGCCAACTGCACTCAGAAAGACCCTGTTCCGAGAGAGATTCCAACCCTCTCTTGCTGAGAGGCGAGAGAGCTAACCACTCAGCCACCATGGACAGTGATGACAACAGCAGACATCAGTGGAGGTCACATGGGGCTCGAATCCACAACCTTCAGGCTCAAAGACCAACACTCTACACAATGAGCCACTGTCACACTGTATTGCACAGCTGGGTGAACTAAAGTGACACAGGTTCTATATTTCTTCCACATTCTGACATTAGTTCAGTTATACACCGATATATCTGTAATGTGGAATTCTTTCAGAGCAAAATAAACCGGAAAATCCTCATTATCTTCTTTCTCACACCAAATTCTGTCAGCGTTTAACATGTACAATAGAATAATCCTTCAGCCTGAGTTGCTAATGCAGGAACATGATGAAGCTCTGAGTGATGGACCTCGCATGAACGACAATGTAATTCTGTATAAATGTGTTTTTGTCTGTGCGCGGAGGTCAGACATGTGATATCGTGAGTTCATCCTTAAACAAGTAGATTCCACACGGCCCCATTTGTCATTGGAAAGTGAATCTAATCGGTTGCTTTTGAAGGTTTAATGCATTATTCATCTGCAGACTTCACTCATCAGTATGGGCCTGGTTTTTCCACGCGTCCTCTACGGCCACACCAAAGCACCAGTGTATTCTCAGCCAGAACTTTTGCTTTTCTAACACGTTCTAATGTTTTTGAAGAGATAGTTCACCGCAGCGGCAGAGACACATTGGACTTTTTCAAAGACTGTTACACAAAATCATTTTGACGTTAAATGGGACGACCATGTTCACATGATACGACAGGGAGACATCTTCGCAGCATTGACAAGTTTGGGATTGGAAAAAGGAAAATATGAATTGTGTTTTTGCTTCTACATGACATAGACTAACCTGGCCATAGCCATCCGTACCAAACTCCGCTCAATCATCATTTCACTGCATGTAACGTCTGGGTCTAGTCCCTGTGTTAGCGAATACTATCGGTTGAATTTTGACCGACCAATCAGAGAGCGCGGAAGGCGGGTGTTGTAGTTAGATGTGGGTGACGTCAAGAGTTTGCGTCGAACGGGAAGGTTGAAGTTTGGCAATGGCGAAAAATGCCATAGTAAAGTAATCCGGTCTGGTTCTGTCAAGAAATTGAAGCCAGAGCAAGAGGAATGTTTAGCAAATTTAATCGCTAGAAAAAATTCTGGCGCTACTCCCCACAGGCTCCGTTAGCGTCAAAGGAGATGGCTAAAGCTAGGCTAAATGCTAACGACTCACTCGGGCACATTACATACATGACAGTAAACTCAGATCCAATAATCTCAATCTGCAAAAGGACTTAAACCTTCCTATCTGTAAACGGAGCTCAATGAAGCGCCTCCAGGCCTTAGTACGTAATGTAATTTGTACTATGGTGGGGTACGACCAGGCTAGACATAAACCAGTGCACAGTATTTCCATTTAAACAAATTCTACATCTTGCCACACAATCCCACAGTGTGTAAAAAGAAATGATAAATAATAATAATAATACATAATGTTAGCATCGGTCTCCGAATCAAGGTCAAGTTTCAGGTCACATAAATATATCCGTTTGCACGATTGGATTGCATAAATAGTACATTGTTTACTGCCCTTTGAGTGTCTTTGCAAAGGTTATTCAAAACGCACTATCCACCGGCAGAATTCACAAGCAATGCTCTTTGCTTTGGCCTCAGTGATTTAACCACGCACTAAAGCGGCCATTTTGGAAACAACAATGACACAATCAACCTTTAGAAAAGCAGTGATTTTCCCAAACGGCGCCTTCTTCCTGCCGTTGCGTGCACATTAATCTCAATGTGGGGTAATTAGTAGTCCGTGATGGTGTGTGTTATGGCGCACACTGGGCTCTGATTGGTGGACAGCTGGGCGAATTGTATTTATATTTGTGTGTGGGAACAGGTGCAGCTCAATGGGCCGCTCAGGTAACTGCTGTCATCTGTCTGAAAGATGTTCTCCCAAGCATCGTCAATATTCAGCCAAGAACAATGTGATGCCGGGGAGCTGGGACGGTTCGGTTAATTAGGAAGATATTTAGGCATAGGAGCAGAAAACTTAAGTAGTTTGGTTTGCACAGTCCATAACGGACAGAAGACAATATGGATTCATGGGAAGTCAGATTCAGATTCAGAAGTCATTGTCAAAACCGGTTAATAAAGTTAATAAAGTTGGTGTTCAATGGCTTTTTGATTGTACAAATGTTGCTACAAAAAACGAATAGACTTTGAAAAGGACGATAGATTTGTATTTTTACAGATAAAAAAAAATAAAAAATCTTGGATTAACAAGTCAGTGGTGGCTGAGTGGATAGCACTCTCGCCTCTCAGCAAGAAAGTCCTGGGTTCGAATCCCAGTCAGAACAGGGCCTCCCTGAGTGGAGTTTTCATGTTCTCCCCATGTCTGCATAGGTTTCCTCCGGGTGCTCCGGTTGCCCCTACCACTAAAAACATGCACACTAGGTAAAATCCTCCAGCTCTGGTCCTGACCAAGCCGAGCATCAAGATCTGGAGATGGGTTCCCGGGCGCTGTTACTACGGCGACCACTGCTCCTGACGTAAGCCTTAGGGCAGCCATTCCCAAACTCAGTAACACCGAGGCCCCCTTAAAAATCTGACGGGTCTGCGTGGCCCCCCAAAATAATAACCAAGAAGACAACATTAAGAATAGGCTCTTCTGGTTATTTTATTTTGGGGAAATAGCCTCTGCTACAAACATTGTAATACAAAAATGATTACAGTGGATTATTCAAGTCAAATAATGAACACAAATATTTTAATATTACAAACAAAACATTATAAATTTAACATTAAATAATTACATTATTATTATTTTTTTTTATGACCTCCCGCGGCCCCCCTGCAGTACCCTCGCGGCCCACCAGGGGGCCGCGGACCCCACTTTGGGAGACACTGCCTTAGGGCATCAGGATGGGTCAAATGCAGAGGATGAATTTCCCTACGGGGATTAATAAAGTGCACATTTACATTTACATGTATCTTAATAGAAAACATTATCTTGTGTATACTTGTAAGAAAACGCCTTGTGAGTCACTGTTTGACGCTTTAGGCTGATTGACTGAGCAGGTGCGGGCCTCTTTCACTTTTCTGTCTGAAATATTTGATTTAAAGATGTGTCAGAGGCTAGAAATACATCCACGTGAAAACTAGCGACAGAACCACACTGTGAGAGAGAAACACGTTACGTAGCTGTGTTTCATTCATGTATTTCGTTACAACATAAGGTACTTCAAACAATAAAACAGAAAACACATTGGTATTGGTCCATAAGAGGTAGATGATAAATGTCCATAAATGTTGAGTGTCCTGTCACCACTGTCCAGTCTGCAAACCGGCTGTTAGCTTTACGGCCTATCAACATGGCAAGGGTTAGCTGTAGCGATGCTTTTTGTTCTGTCCCTATCAAATAAGCATATAATAAATAATACATACATTAAAAAGTACAGTTTTTAGAAAATAAAATACACACACGGTTGGAGCAATGAGGCCCCAGACCAATGTGTATTACTGTATTATAATTCATGACATTTACTAGAGAGGAACTTATGCTTAATGAGGGTTTGTTGAATTGACCCGAGGCCCCTGGGCTGACTCCATCTTTGGGCCCCAAAATGGCATCATCTGGGGTCAGAATCTTTTACCGACTGCGGCTTCATAAGGTCCACATGAAGACCCACTCTAGACCGACGTGGGGCCCAGTACAAATAGACCAGAGCGGCACCTGCACTCCCATGTTCGGGGGTTTTAAGAAGTTAAAGTCAAGTTTATTTACACAGCACATTAAAAGCAAGTGCTGCAAAGTGCTTCAGACCGGAGAAACACACGGTCATTCAAAAAGACTACACACAATAACAAAAACAAGTGCAAGCTCTGACAATATCAACCGAGCAGCTCAGCTCAGTGTATTTGTAGTTTTGAGAGACATGAATTAACGTGTGCATGGTTTGTCCTTTTGTGGATGTGATTTAGAATTCAAAATGAACAATATTTAATTTTCTTTACATTGAAATACTGCTCTCATCTCCCCAACCCTCCCTATGATGTTTGCCAAATGATTGGTTCATCCAGGCCTGAAAACTTGTCGAGGACTCTCTCCCTGACTCAGACTGACTCTCACTGTTTTTTTTATGTTTTTTTTTTTCATTTAAAGAGAAGACAGAAAGGACACACACAAAACTCACAAAAATGTTGCAATAAAATTAGAATGATTAGAATGACAAATGATATTAGTAATAATAGTAATGGGGACTTCATTGTATACATGCTCACAAATATATTCCTGCACGTGCACACACACAAATATCCAGAGCTTACACACATTCACATAATCATAAACACATGCACTGACGCGTACACAAACAGTTATACTGAAGGTGCAGTTTGCAGCTAAATATGTTCAGTTCTTTACTCTAGCATCATGGCTTTGAATAAAAATAGGAAATAAGGTTTTAGTTCATATTCTAGTGGTATTCTAGTTTTAGTGGATAGCACTCTCGCCTCTCAGCAAGAAGGTCCTGGGTTCGAATCCCGGTCGGACCAGGGCCTTTCTGAGTGGAGTTTGCATGTTCTCCCCGTGTCTGCGTAGGTTTCCTCCGGGTACTCCGGTTTCCCCTACCGCTAAAAATATGTAAAATAGTTCTAGCATGCGCCTCCTGTACTGGCGACCCCGCTCCCATCTCTGTGTGGAGTGAGAGACAAGTGCCCAAAAATTAAAATAAAAAAAATAAACAATTGTAAACCGCTTTGAGACTCAGCTCTGCAGTGAAAAGGCGGTATATAAATAATTACTTACTTACTTACTACTTTTATAAAATGTTTAGAAGAAGAGGAATGGCCAACAAAGACATCATTTTTGCTCCATATTTGGTAAAACCCCCAGAACCAGAAGTCCAAATCCTGGACTGGTCTGAGTCCTGGTCCGGGTCCCATACCCGAGATAAGACTCCCACTTCTCTGACAGAACCACAGAGACACAAACTCCAAAGCTCCACACTGAACTCTGTAAACTCTGACCTCAGGCTAACATGAAAACACAGCATAAAAAAACACTTTGTTGTAAAAATATCCATGATTAAACAAAGATTTTAACAATTTGATGAATGTGATACACGTGAATGAAAACACGATTGTGTTCTTGTATCGACGTGTGCTGTATTAAAACTCCACACCAGTTATTTCATTTAGTCATGTATTTATTTTATCAGGTTCTTTCAGGATTCAATTAAACACATTCATTTTCCTCTTCACCATCAAGAGCCTGAGCGTGAAGAAGACTCATGAACTCCCACTGCATTTCCAAACATGTGGGTGGGTTTTATAAGGTTTTATTTGTTTAATTTTTATGCATGTGGTGTGTGTGTGTTTTTAACTTTTTTTATTTACTTTAACCACCCGAAGCAGCCGACTCCCCACGTTTCAAACACAAAACTTATGTCTTCGGTACAAAAGGTGATGGGGAGAGGGCGGAGAAGTGAAAGACCAGATACGGGTCAGACACGGGGGAAGCGAGAGCAGCAGTGGATTTTTGGCCTTATTTTAGCATCCGTTTTAGCTTTGTTGCTTTTTAGTGCTTTTAACATTTTATTTGTATTTTAAAATCCAGTGGTGTCTGTTAAACCCGGGTCCAAAGAATCTGTCTTCCACTCCCGACACAGACAGTACACACACTTTCACTGCTCAGTAACACAACTCGTCCAACAGCAATGCTAAAGTTAGGGTGGATTAGTTTAACAAAGAAGAAGTGCTCACTCACACAGATGTTTAGAGATTTGATTATTATAAGTGTTGGCGTCAATCCCTTTTCAAACCATGCACAAGGTTTTTTATTAGAACATTTTTTTTTCCAGTGAAGTTTTGTTTCCATGTTATGAGCAGAGAAGTTTTAGAGTCCAAGAACATGTCAATTTATAATTTTAATACAATTTGTGTAAAGAGTCAAAAGAATTACTCCAACCCACAGCAGCAGAACAATCCAAGTGTGGTTGTGTTAGTTTAGTAAATGTGCAAATATAAAGCTCCATGTCACCCTGACCACCGGCAGCGCCCTGTGAGCCTGCCCTGAGGGGAAGGATTCTGCAGTAATCAAACACGGATCCACTTCAGAGGTTGAATAAAAACATTTATCAGATTCAGATTCATTTATTTGCCATTTGCAGTAAAACCACATAGGAAAAACTGCAAGACTACCCCAGTGTGCACCAGACGACACACACCAGAGCTATTGCCACGGCGCCATCTTTACGGCGCCATGCGCCAAACAGTAGAATAAACAGCAGAGAGCAATAACACACATATCACAGACAATTGGATAGACACATTGTGCTTTGTGTAAACCACGGATTTTTTTATTTTTTTTTTTCATATTTTTTTATCATTTCATGTGTGAAACTCAAGGCTGTACTTTCTGCTTCTTCACTGATCCCAGGTCTGATCTTGGAGATGTGTGACCCAATGTTTACGGTCCTTCAGCTCAGATCAGATCTATTCAAATACTTTTTATTCGTAAAAATCACAACAAAAGTCGTCTCGAGGAAAGTCACAGAAACAACAACTCCCTACGATAGACTGGGACTAGTCCTAAGGTCCAGGGTTTCAGACTGGGGACTAGTCCTAAGGTCCAGGGTTTCAGACTGGGGACTAGTCCTAAGGTCCAGGGTTTCAGACTGGGGACTAGTCCTAAGGTCCAGGGTTTCAGACTGGGGACTAGTCCCAAGGTCCAGGGTTTCAGACTGGGGACTAGTCCCAAGGTCCAGGGTTTCAGACTGGGGACTAGTCCCAAGGTCCAGGGTTTCAGACTGGGGACTAGTCCTAATGTCCAGGGTTTCAGACTGGGGACTAGTCCTAATGTCCAGGGTTTCAGACTGGGGACTAGTCCTAATGTCCAGGGTTTCAGACTGGGGACTAGTCCTGAGGTCCAGGGTTTCAGACTGGGGACTAGTCCTGAGGTCCAGGGTTTCAGACTGGGGACAAGTCCTGAGGTCCAGGGTTTCAGACTGGGGACTAGTCCTGAGGTCCAGGGTTTCAGACTGGGGACTAGTCCTGAGGTCCAGGGTTTCAGACTGTGGACTAGTCCTGAGGTCCAGGGTTTCAGACTGGGGACTAGTCCTAAGGTCCAGGGTTTCAGACTGTGGACTAGTCCTGAGGTCCAGGGTTTCAGACTGGGGACTAGTCCTAAGGTCCAGGGTTTCAGACTGGGGACTAGTTCGCAGGTCCAGGGAGTCCGGGGTTTCAGACTGGGGACTAGTCCTCAGGTCCAGGGAGTCTAGGGTTTCAGACTGGGGACTAGTCCTCAGGTCCAAGGAGTCCAGGGTTTCAGACTCGGGGCAAGTCCTCAGGTCCAGGGAGTCCAGGGTTTCAGACTGGGGACTAGTCCTAAGGTCCAGGGTTTCAGACTGGGGACTAGTCCTAAGGTCCAGGGTTTTAGACTGGGGACTAGTCCTAAGGTCCAGGGTTTCAGACTGGGGACTAGTTCGCAGGTCGAGGGAGTCCGGGGTTTCAGACTGGGGACTAGTCCTCAGGTCCAGGGAGTCTAGGCTTTCAGACTGGGGACTAGTCCTCAGGTCCAAGGAGTCCAGGGTTTCAGACTCGGGGCAAGTCCTCAGGTCCAGGGAGTCCAGGGTTCAGCCTGGGGACTAGTCCTCAGGTCCAGGGAGTCCAGAGTTTCAGACTGGGCACTGGTTTGCAGGTCCAGGGAGTCTGGGGTTTCAGACTGGGGTTTGGTCCTCAGGTCCAGGGAGTCCAGGGTTTTACACTGGGGACTAGTCCTCAGGTCCAGGGAGTCCAGGGTTTCAGACTGGAGTTTAGGCCCTGTCCACACGAAGTCAAGCTCAGGCCTAAACGCAAAAATACTTTATCAATCCAGTGTATCGTCCATACGAGGCCGGCGTTTTGGGGGGGTGTAAACGAACATTTTTGAAAGTAGGTCCCAGAGTGGAAAGATTTCAAAACTCCGTATATGCCGCTCCGTGGTTACTGCCTCTCCGCAATGTATCTGAGACGCTTGCGTCATCGCCCGCCTCTTGTTAAAGCACGCATGTGCCGCACTCAGAAAATAATGACAACAACAATGTAGCTTGTTGGTTTTGTAATCCAGTGTGACCCGAAGCAACAGTTCAACCTCATCGTCCGTCCATACTAATGTAGTACCAGCTCGCCCACTCGCCATGTTGTCTGTTTACTAAATTCTGCACATGCCCAGTTCCCGTCACGGAAGTTTGGGCTTGATCCCGTCATTGCGTCACAGCGCCACCAACAGGTCTGGCATAGTTTCACAGCGTTTTCAGGCGTATTGACTACATTCATATGGACGCACACATTTACTGAGCTAACTCCGTGTTTACAGAAAAAGTTTCTGAAATTATAAGCGTTTTGTCTTCGTGTGGATATAGCCTTAGTCTTCAGGTCCAGGGAGTCCAGGGTTTCAGACTGGGGTGTCGTCCTCAGGTCCAGGGAGTCCAGGGTTTCAGACTGGGGACTAGTCCTCAGGTCCAGGGAGTCCAGGGTTTCAAGTCCCACCAATGATAAGATGTAGCTGCCAGGACAACACATAAATATGTTTTGTATTTGAATCAATAGTGAATGATTACGCTAAAGTCTTAATTAAAACCACATCGATAAAAGTCATATTTCTCCAACACACTCACAGTTAATCCTGGACTGGCAGCATTTGCATCTCTCGCTGCTGAAGACATAAAAATGCACATTCTTCTTGCTCCTTATTAAGCAGAGGAGCTCCGCGGACACGGCCCCAAAGACTCCACATCTCAGAGCTGCACAAGTGGACAGCGGGGAGTGGGCCGGGCTCTATTGGGCCGAATCAGGGATGTTCTGCTCCTGACCCGCTGCTGCCCACACGCACTGCATTAATCACACATGTATTATGTTTCATGTCCAAGCACTAATTTGACCACAGAGGGACGGCCTGAGGCTCCACCGCTGCACTGCTCGAATCATCGCTGCAGCTATAAAAAATAAATGAATCCTGGAGGCCGTGTGGCAGAAAAAGAGGAAAAACATCTAATCCAAAAAATAACTGGGTGTCGAAACATTGATTTGCAAAAAGTGCTAGAGTGAGATTCATACACTGAAAAAAGTAACATCTTGGTGAGATTTATTTCCCTAAAAATAACATACATTGAGGTTTTTTTTTGTGCTTTAATGTAGTTTGTCATAAGATTATTGTGACAAAGTTGTTCTGGATGAGATTGGGGCAAAACTCCTCTGTCTCTTTTAATGCAACGTACATACGGTACGAGCAAAAGAAACTAGAAAAGCACCGCAGCAGATGGACAGAGGAGAGCGGGGTCGCTGCCCGGTGGGGTCGCTGCCCGGTGGGGTCGCTGCCCGGTGGGGTCGCTGCCCGGTGGGGTCGCTGCCCGGTGGGGTCACTGCCCGGTGGGGTCGCTGCCCGGTGGGGTCGCTGCCCGGTGGGGTCGCTTCCCGGTGGAGCTGGGACAGAGACGGGGAAGCACCGGGGTCCTGGGTAGTTAACACCCTTGAGTCCAATCTGAGAAAAGTCCTTCAGCAACAAGACCAGCAGAAGAAGAAGAGAGTTTATCGTCCCAAACTACGGATGAAAATCAGCTCGTTAAAACCGTTTAAACCTGGCATGAAGCTAGGCTACATGCTAAAGCTAGGCTACATGCTAAAGCTAGGCTACATGCTAAAGCTAGGCTAAATGCTAAAGCTAGGCTAAATGCTAAATGCCTCACTCACTCGGGCTCATTACATACGTCACGGTAAACTCAGATCCAATGGTTTCAATCTGTAAAAGGAGTTAGCCCCTCCCACCTGTTAACAGAGTCAATGGAGCAGATCCAGACCTTAGTACAAATGAAATGTGTGCCATGGTGCGGTAAGACCAGGCTGTAACTGCTTAAATTGATAATAAAGAATTATTATGAGGTCAACTGGAATTACCAGCTGAGTTTGGTACAATGTGCTGATTAATGCACTTGTAAACGCTGTACTCTTTAATTATTCTCATTTAATCTTAATTAACACTCGGAAAGCAACTTTAGGCCAATCAGGCAAAAACAATGTACAAGTTTCTTCTTTTTTTCTTTCATCCTGAACAGTGAACTCTATCCATATTTCTACACCAAACTAACCAGTTATTAACACACAAGTTGTCGATTGTTGTGTGTTTTCTGAGCAAAGACACATCGTGCGGCTCAAACAGTGCAGTCATTATAAAGCCCGATACAAAGTGCTAGTTCTCTGCTTTCTCTCGGTGGAGATTGCTCGTCCTCTCCCACGCTGACATATGTGCCAGCTGATTAGTGCGTCCATTTGATGTGTGCGTATGGATCCATAATGATGAATCCTTTTGCCTTCACTGCGCAGAGTCAAAGGCGTGTGGCTCTGCCTATGGTGCCGCTCTGACGAAAAGGCTTTGGGGGAATATTTCATGCATTTTTTATTAGTTTATCACATTCTATATGAAGTAAAAGCTGCCAAAATAAGTAAGGAGACATTTCCACTCTCATTTTACCACATATAATTTTACATTCTAGGAAATATGTTTGAGTATTTACAGTTCATATGTGACATGCTGCTGCCATATGAGCCAGCTCCAACTCTGTGGAGCACAGGGACTGGTCTCCTGCTGGGACTCTGAGGAGCACAGGGACTGGTCTCCTGCTGGGACTCTGAGGAGCACAGGGACTGGTCTCCTGCTGGGACTTTGAGGAGCACAGGGACTGGCCTCCTGCTGGGACTCTGAGGAGCACAGGGACCGGCCTCCCGCTGGGACTTTAAGGAGCACAGGGACTGGCCTCCTGCTGGTCCCAGAGTCAGGACTGAACATGGGGAGGCAGCCTTTCAGTTTCATGCAGCTAGAATCTGGAACAGTCTTCCTGAATATGTGAGACAGACAGAGTGCTACACTAGCTATATTCAAGTCCAGGCTGAAAACAAATATTTTTAGCCGTACCTACGACTGATCATCATCAGGCAACGGAACATCATTTTATTATTATTATTAGTACATTTATTTATGTATTTATTTCTTTTAACTCATTGACTGCCAGCCCATTTCAGAACAGGTACTTCCATATTGCCAGCCGTTTCTGATGGTTTTTTACTTATTTTTATAGACCCACAGAATATTGTGTACTATGACTATCTGAAATCCGAAACCAGACTGTCTACTTTCATCAGCAAAAAGAATTTTGTTTCTAGCTTGTTTCGTTCCCCTGTAATCCTACGTTGAGTAGAGGGAAGTTTTACTGAAATCACCAGAAAGTTGAGAAAAAAGAGGCACAACATGTGCATCTAACTGTTTTCAAACCATTCAGAGAGCAATGCTGCCACCTGCTGGCTCGATAAAATATGGTCTCAAGCCATCCCCATACATATTAGATACAATAGACATCTGGGTACGTGAAAATCGCGGGAAAGGCAATTGACGTATTAATGCGTCAATGGCACACAATGAGTTTAGTCTCTTGTAATGTTTTTTAAATTGGTTTTAAATGTTGCCAAAGTGAAGCACTTTTTTTTGCATTCTGTATGAACTGTGCTGCATAAATAAAAGATTATTTGATTGATTGATTCTTTATTCTCCTCATAAAGAACTGGACGCGTGAGGACATACATTATTCTGTCTTTGATTCCAGAGACGGCACATTTTTCACAGCACAACAAGCACTTAGAATCAGAATCCTTGTTATTGCCATGTAAGAAACAGGAACAAGAAGATCCTGGGCTTGAATCTTGGTCAGACCAGGGCCTTTGTGAGTGGAGTTTCTCACTGTATCTGCATAGGTTTCCTCTGGGTGCTCCGGTTTCCTCTACAACTAAAAAAATGTGCAAAAGGTAGATTGTACAGCTCTGGCTTCAGGGACCGACACTGACAGAGGCAGAGTCCTGTGTGCTGCTGCTTGGGACAAATACAAAAATGTCTCTTTCTGGAGTGAGTTTGACGCCACTGGTTTTGGGAAAATTACACAAAAAAGTCTTATTCAGGCCCATGATTTGTGTCTATAATCGCAATATATAAAAGTTAAGACAGATGTTTTTTCAGTCTTTCGCTTTTTGGCCGAGCTCTGTCGATCCTGGATGAAAAATAGCTAAAGAATAACTACAGTCGCTGTCATTTTCAGCCTGAGTAGAGCTCAAAGTGTTACGGAGAATCAATACATTCAATTCCAGAGTTCGTCACACGGATGTAATGAAACCGCGCCCGCTGAAAAGGGCCAAAGAGCTGCTAATACCCTCTCCATATTCTCGGCTCCATGCTTTCTCTTTGCTTTCACATCTGCCTGCCTGATTAGTCCTTCCATTTCATGTGCCGTTCACTGGCTGTAGAATAAAACATGACAGATAAAGCCCCGATGCTAAGAACTGCTGTCGACGGCTCGGCTTTTATGAGTTCAACGCGGCCTCATAAAAGCCGACGCCATGTGATTGGAATCCCGCTCCGGTCGCGGCGTACGTCAGATGTAATCAAAATGTTCTTTTTCTCTCCAGTTGAAGTGTGCGTCATTGATGGTATATACTGTATGCATAGAAGGCGACGTGAAATTGACCTTTCACAGCTCTTGACCGTGTTGTTTTGAGAGCGATTAGAGGATGTTGGAAGTTCCTCTGACCAACACCAGGAATTCTGTGAAGCCTCATTCCACTGAGCAAAAACATGAGAATTTGGACCAACAACCAAAGTGGGGTCTATTCTTTACACACTGAGCTGGCATTTAACCCGCCTTGTGACCTAGTTTCAGTTTAGAATGGAGCCAAACTGTTGTGTAGCCCATGCTTACATGTGTGTCAGGTGAAGGTTATAGTTTACACTGGTCCAGACCAGAGCAGAGAGGATTCATGGTTTTACACGGGTCCAGACCAGAGCAGAGAGGATTCATGGTTTTACACTGGTCCAGACCAGAGCAGAGAGGATTCATGGTTTTACACTGGTCCAGACCAGAGCAGAGAGGATTCATGGTTTTACACTGGTCCAGACCAGAGCAGAGAGGATTCATGGTTTTACACTGGTCCAGACCAGAGCAGATTGGTGTTTTGAAAATGTCAGTGAAGACAGGTGTTAGCTCGATGGCGCAGTGTCAGTTAATAAAGTATGTATCTAATGACAGAGTAACAATCCCTGCAATCAAAGACGCTTTACAAGTCATTATTCATTCACTCCATACACAGGTGATAAACCACTACTGTAGCCACAGCTGCCCTGGGGCACACTGACAGAAGCGAGACAACCAGTCTGTGCCATCAGCCCCTCCCACCACCACCAACCATTCACACACACACCAGACTCATTCTAATGTGGGGGAAGTGTCTTGCCTAAGGACACAACATGTTGGTGGGGCCATTTGTCTCACATTTCCATTGATGGTGCATAAAGGAGAATATTGAGAATGATGTGGTTTTCAGATGTACTAATTCTATAAAAACATGTGGTAAATATATAAAGCAGACAGACTGTAAAGCAGACAGCAGCGTACGTCTTTGTGGCTCTCTCGTCTTGTGTCTTTGGAGCGAGTGTTGTTCCAGGGCCTCTGGGTGCTCTCTGCTCGTCAGATCGTAGGCTGGATGTGACAGAACCATCGAACGTCTCACCTTCACCTTGTAGCGCGGAGCAGAGCCTTCAAACGTGCGTCTAAAGCATCTAAAATTAACACAAAGGGATGAAAGACATTGTTCAATTCTTTCTACTGTCAGAGCATGTAACAGCTGAGGACAGAGCTGTACACTGTAAAACAAATCGCGGTAATCATCAAGTCAATAGTTTAATATCGTATACAGATTAAACACTGTATAGGGAACAGTGTAGAGTAGGTTTAGCTGCAACAGAAGAAAGAATTGATCATTATTATCATGAATTATTAAATATAAATATGTCATCTGCTGTGTACTCTCTCATTCCCAATTAGAAGAAGACATGGCTTTGGTGGGGTTAAATGTCTTGACCAAGGACACAACAACAGCAGACATGAGTGGGAGCAGTTGGAGTAGATCTTGTGAGGGGATCCAACCCACGACCTTCAGGCCTTAAGGTTCAACCAACTGAACCACAGATGTCCAAATTAGAAAAGAATTTAACGAAATGTCTCCAGAAAAGACGGATCACAGTCCTCCTTCAGAGCGGACCACCTCTCTCTGGCCTCTCTCTCTGGTCTCTCTCTCTGGTCTCTCTCTCTGGCCTCTCTCTCTGGTCTCTCTCTCTGGTCTCTCTCTGGTCTCTCTCTCTGGTCTCTCTCTGGTCTCTCTCTCTCTCTCTCTGATCTCTCTCTCTGGTGTCTCTCTCTCTCTCTCTGGTCTCTCTCTGGTCTCTATTTGGTCTCTTAACTTTTTCTCTCTGTTTTCTCTCTGGTCTCTCTCAGGTCCCTCTCTGGTCCCTCTCTCTGGTCCCTTTCTGGTCTCTCTCTGGTCTCTCTCTAGCCTCTCTCTGGTCTCTCTCTGGTCTCTCTCTCTGGTCTCTCTCTGGTCTCTCTCTCTGGTCTCTCTCTGATCTCTCTCTCTCTGGTCTCTCTCTCTGGTCTCTCTCTGGTCTCTCTCTGGTCTCTGTCTAGTCTCTCTCTAGTCTCTCTCTTGTCTCTCTCTGGTCTCTCTCCGGTCTTTCTCTAGTCTCTCTCTGGTCTCTCTCTAGTCTCTCTCTAGTCTCTGGTCTCTGGTCTCTGGTCTCTCTCTGGTCCCTTTCTGGTGTCTCTCTGGTCTCTCTCTAGTCTCTCTCTAGCCTCTCTCTGGTCTCTCTTAGGTCTCTCTCCAGTCTCTCACTGGTCTCTCTCTGGTCCCTCTCTCTTGTCTCTCTCTGGTCCCTCTCTCTGGTCTCTTTCTGGTCTCTCTCTGGTCTCTCTCTAGTGTGACCCGGTGAGTAACCCACTTTTTTCTACTGCTTTGTAAACATACTCATTGTGATCGCTTGCTTCCACTCAGCGTGTCGCCGGGCAGAAAACCGAGGGCGTCACACCACCCATGGAAAAAACCCGGAGCTCGGCCTTCAGCGAGTCTCATCTGCGGCTGCTTTGTCCCCGCGGCGTCCAATCGATACCGCCATTTTAGACCAACACAAATGGTTTTTGCATCTTGAAGGGAAGGCAGCCACTGTGTGTGTGTGTGTGTGTGTGTGTGTGTGTGTGTGTGTGTGTTCCAACAGCGCCCACAGAACTTTCACAGAGGAGAGAGAAAGAGAGAAGAGTCAAGGCGAGTTCAACAGCGTGCGGAGAGTGTATGAAAAGAGTTCGGCGGTGAGAGTGTTGTGAGAACGTGTAAAATGGAAGAATAAGTGTTGTGAGAAAGTGAAAAACGTAAGGGTCAATTTGATTAAAGAGGGTCAGGTTCTCAAGTCAACAGAGAAACGTTGAAACTCTGGCCTTCAACTGTTAATGCTGGAGTTCTGTTTCTCTGTGGCAATAATAATTAAAACGTTTCAGAGCGAGAAGGTGTCAGACAGCAGTTGGTGAACACTAGTTCCATCTGGAGAGATTTTAACAGAGAAAAATATGGGTGTTATTAGAAATGTACATTGGTCGGCAGCAATCTGACACTACAGAAATAGATAGATAGTTTATTGATCCTGTTGGAGAAATGCAGGAGTCCAACAGCAGCAAAAACACATCCAAACAAACAAATAGATAAATAGATCATTCTAAAAAGTTAACAATAGCAATCATGAAATCCATCAGTCCTTCAGGTCACAGAGGCAGAAGTGGAGCCGCTTGGTTCAGACCATTTTCTCTGCTCTTGTCCAAAGTAAAATGCTAAATGCTTCCTTAGCATTATCCTAAAGTTAGCATTCCTCCAGTGGATTTTTTCTGATCTATGTGGTTTGGACCATGAATCCTCTCTGCTCTGGTCTGGACCAGTGTAAAACCATGAATCCTCTCTGCTCTGGTCTGGACCAGTGTAAAACCATGAATCCTCTCTGCTCTGGTCTGGACCAGTGTAAAACCATGAATCCTCTCTGCTCTGGTCTGGACCAGTGTAAAACCATGAATCCTCTCTGCTCCGGTCTGGACCAGTGTAAAACCATGAATCCTCACTGCTCTGGTCTGGACCAGTGTAAAACCATGAATCCTCTCTGCTCTGGTCTGGACCAGTGTAAAACCATGAATCCTCTCTGCTCTGGTCTGGACTAGTGTAAAACCATGAATCCTCTCTGCTCTGGTCTGGACCAGTGTAAAACCATGAATCCTCTCTGCTCTGGTCTGGACCAGTGTAAATCCATGAACACTGAACTGAGGCAACAACACATAAATGACAGACTCTGAGACAAAACTTTCAAGATTACATTTATGTTGTGTAAATACGGATAGGATTTGGCTTTAGATCCTGGCGGAGAACATTGAAGAGGCAGAAGGGGAAAGAGATTATGAGATGAAATCCCCCTGGGCCTAGACCCTGGTGGTGGGAGCTCGGAGAGGGATGAAGGAGCTGGGACCAGGAACGAGATGGGGAGGAGGAGGGTTACTCTTTGACTACGTTTTGTAAATAAGTTTCTGCGTTATCCTTTTGTGCCCTAAAATAAAAAAGGCCATTATGCACAACATTTACACCTGGGTATTCTTGTTTCATTCCTTTGCAGTCACAATCTATCGTTAAAGCAAAACATTCAGAGTGGAACGAGTTCAAACTTCAATCATAAAAATCTGAAAACACATAATTGTCCATTTATCTCCGTTAAACACACTCATATATTGGGCATGACAGTGTTATTACCGCACTTGTAAAGAACCTGTTTGAGAAATATATATGGATGCTGGCTTATATTCACACCACTGCTGCTATGAATTAACTTTAATACGTTTTCATCAATACAACCATAAAGAAAGTATAATTATTCTGGTGAATCCATCCTTTGGGTCCATTCGCAGCCTCGCGCTAATAGCACTGACAATAAGGACGCGGCTCTCGTTAAAACTTTACGGCTTTACACTGACAATGCAGTTAGAGCATTAAGTAATGAGAGAAGTCCTTTTAACTGCGCTGCTACCGGACGCATACGTACGGCAGGGGCTCCGGTTGCCAAAGGTCGGGTAATGGGAAAATCAATATGCACTCAGGAGGGTTAACCCAGGCGTTTGCAAGTACAGCCAAATGGACAGTTCTGCCATCGATTTGTGTGTTAAAAAATGGCTCACTTTCACTTACACTTTAGCCCAGTTAAAGACGGAGATGTGTGTGGGGCGGCTTTTAGTTTGGCTTCTTAGTTGCCGGTTCGTTTGATCTGGATATAGCTGAAATCGGACATTCTTGTGTTATTCGTTTTGTGCAGGAATAGCTACATGTGATATACACACAAACATGCATGAGTAAGTGTGTAATTGGACATGAGTAGATATAAATATATACAGTATATACTCAATTCAAGGTTTTTGTTATAGCCCTTTTACCCTTTAATGGTTTCCTCAAACATTTGGTAGATCACCTTTAGAGTCAATGATTTAAAGAGTGCACATTTTAAGATGAAAATGAGCAATAGCTATACAATCTTTCTGCATTGAATCCGTTACGAGCTTGTTCTGTTCTTTGTTGACTTGCAATGTCCCTGTCAAATAAACAAATGAATAGATACAAAAATAGATACAAAATACATACATAAAATAAATCTACTTGAAGCATGCTTAGACCTGAAACATAGCTCAGTGGGGGATTTATGTTGGTTATAAGGCATTTTTACCATCAAGCTGACCTCAACCCTTATTTTAAACAAATATTTTTGTTTTTACTGCTCCTAAATGATAGAAAATCCAAAAGAGAGACAAAAAATCATAGCTTTTTTCAAGGAGTGAATGTTAAAGGGTTATACACAACAGCAGTAATCTATCGAAGGACTTTACAGAGTTGTTGATTCGCCAACAACAGATCAGAGAATCAAAACACATGAGAGTTATTGGTCCAAAGGGAGCAGGATGATGTCTAGAAATGTTGATAAATGTCTGACATCGGCACAAAACGACAACAAAAACCCAATGGGAAAAAAGTGAGAAACCTCAGGCTCCCACGGACAGACAGCTGTGGATCCATTACTAACACATGAACGGCAATATTAGACAGAATTCACCATGTTTTGACCAAATGTATTCACAACTTTACTCACAAACTATCAGTGAAGAATATTCTTAGCCTAGAGGACATTTATTTACCTACAACCACCGATACCAAGAAACACCATGTGCATGACAGCGCCGAGTAACTAAGGATTGAATTCAGTTGAAATCCCAAATTCCACAGACTTTCATATCCAGTCCTGCCGTACCACTCCTCTCTCTGCCCCTTTGTGTGA